TCGCAAAGCTTGATGGTGGCATTTGTGTCCTTAGACACATTCTTGTTTTATTTTATTTAAAGCAAGTCATTTTGATTAATTGAATACATCAATTTCTAATTTAAAGCAGGTCACATTGAACTAAGTGAGTTGGTCAATTTCTGATTTAAAGTAGTTCACATAAAACAGAGTGTGTAGATCAAATTCTAATGTAAAGCAGGTCACTTTGAACAAAGTGACTATGGAAAGGTCACATTGATAAGAGTGAGTAGCCCAATTTCTAATTTTAAGCAGACCACATTAAACAAAGTGAGAAGGTCAAGGTCACATTTAACAGAGTGTGTAGCCCAATTTCTAATTTTAAGCAGGTTACATTGAACAAAGTGAGTAGGTCAAGGTCACATTTAACAGAGTGAGTAAGTCAATTTCTAATTTAAAGCAGGTCACATTAAACAAAGTGAGTATGTCAAGGTCACATTGAACAAACTGGGTAGGTCAGTTTCTAGTTTAAAGCATGGTGGTATGTACATTGAAAAATTGGTCATGCTTTAAGTGATTATTTCAGGTTCCTTTTTAACTTCAATGTGACAGTTCCCAGTATGAAACAGGTCACTTTTATTGATTGGTTAATTTTTGGGTGCTTAGGGACACTTTCAGAACACATGGCTATATCATAGCAGCAGACTGACAAGCTAGTGATCACTGTAGATGTAATATTCAGACCAATCTGCCACTGAGGTCCTCAATCATATGGAACAAATGTCCATCCTTTTTGACATTTGACAAAACATTAAAAGCCTACATTGTAACTTTTATAGTATTAATTTGTATCATGGTATAAGGATGCATATTTGAAGTTCAAAATTGAACTGTTGATCTCTGTGTTTTTATCTTCTTTTTGGATGTCTTTTCCAAATGTTTTTTTACTGAATATTTACTTTTTCTTTATTGAAATGTACCCTTAAAATTGGCATTAAATTCAGAAAAAAATGATAATTTAAATAAAGATATACTTGCATATAAAGATATAATATATTGAAAAGGTTAGTATCTAATTACTTTTTGCAAATCTCTGTACTTAGTGACTCTGGGTAACAAGAATGCATTGATTTCATCTAACAGTCTGTTTGAAGTATAGAGGGTTTTAGATAAATTTCACAACATATTACCATATACTGTCACATTTTTTCATGTTTACTAAATCAAACGTGAAGTGATTTAAATGTTATCATGAATGGAGATGAATATGGAATATCAGATATTGAGAGAAAATTAGAAATAACAGAAGGGGAAATTTTTGATTGACGTTCTCAAATGCTTTCTATCCATCCATCAAAGCCAGTGTTTTTATTTGATTTGAATTCCAGAAAACAAAACATTTAACTAGTGTGTTAATCCTTTACAGTCAGGATTCTACTTCTTCAGAATTATCTCCCCATTACGACAGCTAATTTTTCAAATCGTAAAAATGGAAGCCATTGTAAGGATGACACACTTCCAATTTAGCTCTTGAAAACCGATATATTTATCCACATGGCACCATTACGATCCTTATATGCCAGTTGTATTTTAAAGACACATGTATCTACTAGCTATTGAGCATCATTCAATGTACTTTTCTGCATTTAGTCAACTTTAAAACTATTGTCTGATATGTTGTCAGGGGGAATTTTGGAAAGTTCAAAAACATTTTGAAAAATTCTAATTAAATATTACGTGGAAGGGCAGACTAAAAATTTTCAGAGGTTGAAGACTAATAACCCTAGATAACACACACAAAAAAATAAAGTTTTTTTGAAGTTATGCATTTTTAAGATCCAGTTGTAACATCTGTTGTCAAGTACTTTTAGTAAATATTTGTTATTCAAACACACCTACTCTGTTGTTATGACTCATTAGAAAGGTATTTCACTTGACCCATATATTTCATTTTTTAGTACTGTGAATTTTAAATGTTATTAAATCAACCTGTAGCCTATATATATAAAAATAATAGAATCTGAAGCAAGATGATGTATCAAATATTTTTGCTTATACATTTTCAAGACAGAAAAGTCAACTCAAACACGCCTGAACACAAAAAAGTGTACTTGACCTTCTCTTTTCTGTGAAATTATTGCCCATTTTTACAATTTTTCCCAAAAAAAGATCCACATGCATTTGCATCGACCACAATCGACTGTTTTATAAAAATGTGTCTATAATTTAAAAGTTTACAAATTTCTCAAAGCTCCATTCTATAATTTAAGTAAAAACATGTATGTAAGATGCATAAAATCCTAAATTATGCACCTTCATTAAACTTTTAAAGCCCATAGAAACAGATGTAAACAATTCAAATATACCTATTTGGCCTTTTTTACCTTCTCTAACAAAGAGTGCCATTTCTTTTGTTTAATTTCAACACTGGGTATACGCCTGTTTAAAAATACCTAAATTGATTTAAAGGTTCAGTATATGGTGGTAGTGAAAACATAGAAAGCATGAAACATAAAAATCAAATGGAAGTAACTCTGTTATATCTTGAAATTCATTGATATAGTGTTTATTTGATAATTTTACTTCACATTACATGTATTACAATATGAGAAATATAGATTCCACCACTGTATCAACTGTGTAACAATATTTCTCCACTCGAGACAGTTAAATTTTTATATTTGAAATGAGAGGCTTGCCAAGGTTTTTAAATATTTAAGATTTAACTGCTGAGAGTGGAGAAATATCGTAATACACGAGATATAGTGTTTGAATCTGTTTCTCCAAAGATTTTTAGATGATATCTAAACAAAGTTATCCTTTCTTTTCAAAGATTTGCAGAAAATTGTGTTCTTTATATATGACGTCATCAGGTATAGTCACCTTTTTTCATGACGTCACAATAGGAAATTCAAAAGAAATCAAGAAAATTTGACGTCATAATTGAATTTCGACCAATCATTTGCTGAGAAAAATTTTTTCTCTAGAGATGATAGAGATGAGAAATATTTTTCTCACACCGATTGAGAAATGTGAAAATAGCATAAAAATTGGAGAATTTTTTTTTTTACTTTTCTGTCAATATCATTTGATTGTGAAGAAAAAAACCACTCAGGCAAATGTCCTAATCATCAAAAATATGTCAAAAAAAAATAAAGATCCTGAAAGAAAATGAACCATTGAAACTGAGGAATTCCCTAAAATTTGTTGAAAATGGCTTTAATTGGCATTTTTCACAACTATTTGAACTTTTGGAGAGGAGAAAACACAGATATTAATACATAGAGTATATTATTTCCAGCCTTGGTGGCAATTTTAGGAAACAATTAGAGAACAGTTACAAAATATTTTTTTCAACATTACCATAGGCTACGTGGACAAGCCTTCGGTGCTGTGACTTTAAAAATCCTATATTTTCATAGTAACTTAATCAATCTCTGCATTATAAACAGGTATCCGTTGTAAAATAAAGCTATCTTAAAATTATGGAGACCAACAAGGGTTCCATATAAGGATTTTTCCTTTAGCTGTAGATCAGAACTAGCATTTCAAATGTGTATATAAATGAGAAGTTTATAGAACACTGTTAGTTAATCTAACATGACCTTTTACCTATCATGCAGTTTTTTTGTTGTTGTTCAGAATTTTGTATCATTTGAACTTCAATGGTAAAATTGAGAATGGAAATGGTGAATATGTCAAAGAACCAACAACCCGACCAAAGAGCAGATAACAGCCGAAGACCACCAATGGGTCTTCAACGCAGCGAGAAAATCTTGCACGCGGAGGTGGTCTTATTAGAAATATTGCAAACTATAGTTTAATTATTGTTGACAATTGAAAAAGTTAAAGTTTAAACGATTTAATTAAATTACTCTGCACATTGCTTAGAAAACCAAGGAATATTTATCTATGACAAGTTGAAAGATTCTGAGCCAGAGAATTTTTTATCAGCATGAAATTGATTGGTGATATTTAGAGCAAATGAAGCATATGTGTATCTTGTTGAAGGAAGAAAAAAATGTTAAGATAAGTTAATTATTTTTGGAAAATGATGCTAGGAAGAATTGCCTTATTTTGTCGCACCACTTTTTGCTTTTTTTAACATTCTGCAAAAAATCAAACAATTGTAACTGCATATATCTTTTTACTGACTTGCTGATTAATAATTCCACTATTTTAAGTGGAACAGAACAACATTGATATAAAACTACTTATTTTTGCATGATTGTATTGTGAATGTCAAGCTTATTTTTTGTCTAGTAGTGCTTTGTGTCAGCATCTTAGCTAGCATTTGTTGTCAGTTTTCTGTTAAATATAAAAATTGGAGAACTGAAACTGAATTTTATTTTTCATTTACTTAATGTGTGAATTACATATAGTGAGGAAATTGTATTCTTGCTGTATTAATTGTATACAAACATGTATTCTTAGTAATTCTACATCAAATAGCAATATTATACAGATGAATATAGATTCAGAATATTAAAGAAATGCACTTTTATCTTAAAAAACAGTATTTCCTCTTTTATGTTTTAACAGGAAACTTGCAAATATGTTTATTTTATTAAGATATCTTGTTCCATATTTATAGAAGAAACTTTAATTAAGAAATTCACAACCTGGTTATTCAAATATTAAGCTTAAAGATTTCATAACATTTAAAGAAACACAATACAATTCTTACTATTATTTCAATGAGAGGGAAGTTAAAACTATCATATCTATTACAGAACAGTATGAAAATGTTATAAACATGAAATGGAAGCTGGTGTTTTTGAAGAAATTTGATTTTGTTTAATGAATAGAAAATATATTTCTGTTAAAGACAAGGTTGTAGAATTTGGAGAGAAAAAGAACAATATTGATATTTTAAGAACATTTGTTAAAATTGTTGACCTTTTATAACATCATAAGAAAACTTCATATAACAATTAAACTAGTATTTAAAAGGCAGAAGCAATTTTACCATTTCTTTTCTTATGCACTTTGATAGCTTTGGTTTTAGACATACAATTATAATTATTATCTGTGAATTTCAGATTCCTGCCAGAACCTGCCAACTGCCTTAGTAGCTACAATAAAGAAATTACAAAGTGGTTATATAGCTGGAACAAGGTATTTGTTCACTAAATGTGAGGGTCTGGAGGGGGTCTGTATTTCTATATTCTTTAATTTTAGGCCATTTTTCACCATTCTTTTTTTTTTTTGCCTTTTATTGTCTATTCATTGCCCATTATTCTCTATTCTGTAAATCCCATCCAGTATCTTATACATGTTTATGATATATTCTGTTTTGAAATTAATTTCCCCTTTAGTTATCATACATGATACTTCTTTGATATAAGTAAAAAGCATTAATAAAAGACAGTGTGCGTGTGAATAGAAACTAAGTTAATATTTTGTTTGGTGAACATCCTGCTGAGGATTTATCGCTTGCATAAATAGGATGCCTTTGGTAAGGTGGTTAGAGACAAATATAGAAGTAAAACTACAGTTTTTTAATTCTAATTAAACTCCTTGGATGTTCTGACAGGATGCATATTGTTGTGTGTGTGTGTGTCTGTGTATAGGATACATGGTTTGCCCTAACTTCTCTCGCAGTTTAAATCAGAACCTGGATAATTTGTACATTGTACATAAACCAAATATTAGATTTTGCTGTATGTTAAAAAACAGCTTATGCCTTTATTTTACATACAATAATTTCAGGGTACACATGGGGAAACTAAGAGATTTTTTAACAACCTCTTGTGTAACCAAGCTGAGTTTTTTGCCTGATGATTCTCCCCAAGGTTTGTTTATTATATTAAAGATAACATGTATAGTTAGTTGCTAAAAATATACTTATTAATTCTTTATATGATTATTATAAATAAAAGAATATGTGAGAAACACTTCAATAAAAGAAGAATCCAAAAACACATACAAAATACTAGGACAAGGATGTAGATAACTACAGGTCACTGTACAGTTTACAAAAAATGAGCAAAACTTAAACACATGCAGTTTTTTTTTAGTTTACATGTATTTTCATCTATTTAGAAGATCATTTTTAACCGGATTTTAGAAGGAAATATCGGTTATTAAAATGGTGATGTACGGCGGGCGACTGGGCTGATCTATGGGCAGCTGCCAAACACTGTCAGCACAATAACATGAAAACGCTTTAACAAATTTTTTTAAAATTTAAATATGTTGTTTCCTGGGACTTAATGAAGGTCTAGTTCAATTTTCAAGATTTTAGTATATCTCCTTTGTGAGTTATCGCCATTTTTAATATCCAAAAGTAGAATTTTTAAATATTTTACTCTTGTTATCATGTTATGATTTGTCTTATCTCAGAATAAAAATTGGAGTGACAGATTTATTTTAAAATTATCTATTTCCTAAGTGGTAATGATTATAAGCTATATCATGAGACATTTTGAAGATTATTACATTATTAATTATGTTAGAGAACTATGTTAAACAACCATAGTTCTGTTCAATTAGATATTAGAAATATTTTAGCATATGATAATGATTTATTTTCAATATTAATTAGATCTTGGAAATATTTTAGCATATGATAATCATTGGAGTGACAGATTTATCTGAAAATTTTCTGTTTTCTGATAAGATCTTTAGGACTGTATATATAAAGTTTGAAACTTACTAGTAGGACTGTATAAATGAAGTTTTGGAATTTACTGTTCAGTATTAGACATTTTGTAGATAATTAAGTGTCCGTTAATCATATATATTCTTACCCCTACCCCCCCTTCAGTTTGATAATGTGCTTTTATCTTGTAAACGGTCAAGATCCCTACTCCTAAACCATATATATTCTTGTATGGGACAATAAAACAAATCAAATGAAATATTGGGATAGTTCTCGGGTTCACACCTACCCTCCTTTTTTTGAAAACTTGTAAATGTGCAAGCTCCCCACCCTGAAACCATATATATTCTTGTATGTTACAAATCAAATGAAATAAAAGGTGAGTCCCCTGGGGTCACCCCCAGCGTGTCTGTTTGAGAACTTGTAAACGGTCGAGATCCCCACCCCTGAACCATATATATTTTTGTATGGACAATAAAAGAAATCAAATGAAATATAGGGGAAGTCCATTGTGGTAACCCCCCACCCCCTTCTGTTTGAGAAATTGTAAACGGTTGAGATACCCACCCCTAAACCATATTTATTCTTGTATTTGACAATAAAACAAATCAAATCAAATTTAGGGGAAGTCCACGAGGGTAAACCCCACCCCCTCTTTTTGAAAGCTTGTAAACGGTTGAGATCCCCACCCCTAAACCATATATAATCTTTTTTGGGACAATAAAACAAATAAAATGAAATTTAGGGGATGTCCCCTTGGGTAACCCCCACCCCCTTTTTTTGAAAACTTGTAAACAGTCAAGATCCCCACCCTGAAACCATTTTTCTTCTTGTATATTACAATAAAACAAATCAAATGAAATAAAAGTCGAGTCCCCTGGGGTCACCCCCACCTTTTTCCTGTTGAAGAACTTGTAAACGGTTGAGATCCCCCACCCCTAAACCATATATATTCTTGTATGGGACAATAAAACAAATCAAATGTAATATAGGGGAAGTCCATTGGGGTAACCCCCACCCCCTTCTTTTTGATAGCTTGTAAACGGTCAAGATCCCCACCCAAAAACCATATATATTCTTGTATGGGACAATATATCAAATCAAATGAAATATAGATGAAGTCCACGGGGGTAAATCCCAACCCCTTCTTTTTGAAAACTTGTAAACGGTTGAGATCCCCACCCCTAAACCATATATATTCTTGTATGGGACAATAAAACAAATCAAATCAAATTTAATGGAAGTCCACGGTGGTAAACCCCACCCCCTTCTTTTTGAAAACTTGTAAACGGTTGAGATCCCCACCCCTAAACCATATATATTCTTGAATGGGACAATAAAACAAATCAAATGAAATTGAGGGAAAGTCCCCTGGGGTAACCCCCACCCCCTTCTTTTTGAAAACTTGTAAATGGTCAAGATCCCCACCCCGAAACCATATATATTCTTGTATGGGACAATAAAACAAATCAAATGAAATATAAGGTGAGTCCCCTTGGGTCACCCCCACCCCCCTCATGTTTAAGAACTTGTAAACGGTCGAGCTTTTCATTATTAATAAGATAATACCACATTGAGGTCCAAAGGGTCCTAAATTAAACTTTTGTTTAATTTCATCAAAAATTGAATTCTTTGGTTCTTTGATATGCTGATTCTAACAATGTTTGAGTGTTAAATCATATCTAATTTTAGAGAACTTAGTCATCACTGGTTGTTGTTATTATATTATTGATTATAATTTGAAAAATTGCATCATATCTTATTTTAGAGAACTATTTATCCAGTTTGAGTTATTTCCATTTGCACAGAAAATATTATGGATAGAATTAACCTTTGTTTCATTTCAACATAAATTAAATATATATATAGTGTTCTTTCAAATGCTGAATCTAAACTCTATTTAAATATTAGATTTTTAGGCCCAGTTTTTAAGTTGGTCCAAATCAGGGTCCAAAATTAAACTTTGTTTGATTCAACAAAAATTGAATTTATGGGGTTCTTTGAAATGCTGAATCTAACCATGTATTGAGAGATTTTGGATTGTGGGCTCCTTTATCAAATTGGTCCACATTGAGGTCCAAAGGGTCCTAGATTAAACTTTTGTCTGATTTCATCAAAAATTGAATTCTTGGGGTTCTCTGATATGCTGATTCTAATATGTACTTAGATTTTGGATATTGGACCATAATAGGTATTTAAATGTCCAATTTCAAATATATCAGTTCTTTGACTACATTCATTTTGTGTCACAAACCTATGATGTGTCAAATATTCAATCACAATTCAAATTCAGAGCTGTTTTAAGTTTAAATGTAGTTTCCATACTTGCTCAACTGTTCAGGGTTCGACCTCTGCTGTCTCTCTGACAGCCTCTAGTTTTCTCAGGTAAATCAATGAGTGATGCATTTTTCTCAGAAGAAATTTAAAGGTATCAGTGAATAAACTACACAGAGAAGAATAGCTATTGTATTTATTCAATGGGACAATAGAACAGACAAAAGTTTAAATACCTTGACCAAGAGGAGATGACTCTGTGGAAAAGTCTCATTTAGTTTGCAATAAAGAACTGCCGCTTTTATTCAACATTTGCTTTATACTATCAAAATCACATAAAGGCAAAAGTCATATCTATGTGTCAACAGTTTTTGATTTAGTTTTATAATTTTTTAGAGATCCAGCTTAATCAGATAATGAAGGGGTTAGCTGGCGGTACATCAAGACCAAAATTATTATCTTTTGGTAACAAAATGAAGAGACGACATATTTCAAGGAAAAATCTATCTGTGCATGGCAGTGTTAGAAGGTCAAGATCAATTCAGGTAGACCCAGAAAATATTCAAGGTAAGTTTTAAATCTGTAGAAGTATTAAGGAGAGTTGTATAAGTTTGCTAATCAGCTTTAGGTGTTTTTAATTTAGTCACTTGAGGGAATATTTTGTTGGGATGTTTCACATGCAAATGTATAAAATTTGACAATTTCAAGCCTGAACTTCACAATAAAGGACAGTGTAAGACCACAGACAAATAAATATATCTCGGTTGAAACATAGAAAAATATTTAGTATACAAACATTAAAATCAACAGATCAATGAATTTACTTCAGAAATTTGTTTTATTATTTCATTCAATTCTTTTTTCAACAGATACTGGCAACAAGTGAATTTCATTTATAAATGCATCATAATAGCAGCAAAAGTGATTTATATATTATTGTGAATATAGCAATGTTCAGTCTGCTTGTATAATCTATTCCAAACAAAAAAAAACCAACATTTTTATTGAACAGAAAACATTGACTTTGGAACTGTAACAATATCTGCCAGACTAAGGAAGAAAAATTCATGACATTCAGTCAGATATATCCAAATATACATATAAAATTCATGAAAAAGTTAGAGATTGAGTCAGGTTCATTCTAAGTGTAAGCAGCTCTTTGGCATATCACACTACTTTATGAACTCCCATGGCAGTAAGATATAGCCATAGAAAAGTTAGAAAAAGGTTGTTGACATTGATTCATCAGACTAGTATTACTGTATTTCCCATAGACAGGACAAAGTCGTGTAAGTTTTAAACGTAATTGTGTAGTTTGGAATGATTAAAAAATATCCCTTCTGTGTTTCATGCATTTTATATGTATTTATATGAACGTATTGTTATATGAAATATTGTCAAAAGTCTGATTTTGATTTTCTGTGCTGGAACTTTTTAACATGCATCTTCAATATCAACTAACAAAACCTTTTTTAGAAATAATAAATATATTTGTGTAATTTTTTGTTCAAACTGTTTCAGTTCAGGTTTTCTTTATTTTTTATATTTTCTATTTTGAATATCTGTTGTTGTTTTTTTTCACCCTTCAATTTGTTTATGTAAATTTATAATCACCTATCAGAATTGTATGGTATATTTAGTTGTCAATGATGCTATGCACTTATTGTTCTTCAGTCTCCTAATATAAAAATAAGGAGATGCGATATGATTGCCAATGTCAGAGAAAACTATCCATCAGAATAGTTTATTTTAAAACCCTAAGTTATGTCTGAATTACATCCAAGCGCTTAATTATATCAATAGGACTTTGCTGCTTATAATTCCTGTCCAGGTTGTCCATCCATAATTAATGTCTAGCTTAAAATTTATTAGCTCAATATTATGGTAGTAAGTTTTTCTCTCTAATTATGATTCTTTGAAAATACTGAATTAATTGAATTTTCTGACTATATTGTTCAGATAGTGATAAATTTTACCAACTTTTACAGAAGAGCTACAACCATTTTCGATTGGATGATACAAACTAGGATAAGGTCTGATTTTTTGTCGATTAGAAATAGAGGGAGTAAAATAATAGACTTTTTTTATGGACAGTAAATAGAGTTAAATGATTAAAGTCAAGTCACTATAATTGATTTTAAATCACAAAGTTTATATCAAGATAAAGGTCAGGTGTTTGTTGCAATTATTGCTAGAGCTAAGAATAAAATTGATAGCCGAGTTAAAGCAAATATCCATCCATTTAAATCCTTCTTTTAGCAGTCACCTAATTAAAAAGATTTTTTTATCCAAAAAGTACTTCAATATCATTATTTGATATTATTAGTCAACTCTCATTGTTACAGTATTTTAGTGAAAATGACAAAAATTTTGATATATATATTTTTACTAATTCTGGGACTGTAAATGTGAAACATTTTTAGTAGGTGAAAGGTCAAGGTTACTAAATGCAATTACCTTTACAGATCAAATGAGCCTGCTCAAGAAAGAACCAAAAATTGCATGGTGTGTAAAAAATGCAGTAAAATTTTTCTTTTGCTAAAAGTTGTTGGTTTTTCCTAGGCTTGAGTCCTCAGATTTCTTCAATCTATGAAACAGGGATTTCACCTTCAAATTGTGTACAAATAATTAAAGTAGCCACTGAAATGCATAAAATGGGAAATATACTGTCTGCCAGTTTTTGTGTCAATGCATCTTAACTAAAATTGATCTTTTCTTCAGCTTTGAATTAAGCTTCCACTGACCACTAACAGATTACAAAAAAAAAATTGTTTGCCTGCCAAATAACAAACTCTATATACTGTTGCCTCGCATTTTGGCTTACATTGTCAATTTATAAAACATTTTTCAAGATTGCTTACTGTAATTTTGTTTTGATTTCAGCACAAGATAATCAAAATCAGATTAAATGTGTTTCAAACTACACAGACTAAGATTTATGTTTAAGCTATAAGCATTATACAAGTACAGCATGTTGGTTGTTAAAAAGTCTTGTAGCATTTCATTCTGCAACTCTATAATCCAGATATATAATAAAATTTGATTAAAGTTTTACTATTTTACTGTTTATTTTATTAATTTTTATCCATAATAATTCACACATAAAATGGACATATCACTGCCGTAAGAAATAATATCTAAAGTTATCAAATAGAATTAGTTTATCACATTAGTGTTGGTTTACAATGTGATGTAATGTTGATTTGTTTTATTATGGATTCAAATTAGTAAATGATCAAAATAGAGTAGAAAAACACATAAAAAGGGAGAAAAAACATTATTGTTTTGCATGATATAAGAATATTTTATCTTAAATGAGGGGATTTTATTTTATGCCAGCTTTTAGACTTATATTCTGAGTCTTGCATATAAATTTTTTAATTTTGTTTATTTATTTTTTCTTCCTTTAACCAATTTACAAGTTTATTAGTAATATCATCAGTTTGAAAATAATCCTTTATCTATTTAAAGCGCTGCGGGGGAGAAATAAATTCATAAAGTTACTAAATTTTTTGGTGGGGATTTTAATTACAAAGACTTTCTAAAACAGTGAAATATATATATGATCATTAAGTGGATACATATATCATGCAAATATTGTTATAACAGATCACAAATAACACTTTAAACCAGATCTTATGTTCTAAGGTTACGATGTGAAATACACAAAGAGTGCTTAGATATTACATATTTTTTTCTTGAGCACTCCAAGAACGTCTGAAAAAAGTTCAGTTGAGTTCAGCTTCAACAGGTAATGAATACAAAGTATCTTGTTTTACAACCTTTATTGTGCCTTAATTTCACTAGAATGATTCTTCACAGATTTAGTATATAGACTTTTTAACAGTGCTTCTTTTGAATCTTTCTTAAATTTACTGTACTAAGAGTTTCCCAGTCTTCTGTTACAACACTTGAGTGACTATGCTTGGTTTAAACCAATTTTTTTCCAGAATATATTAAAAACTCTAAATTTGTATAACTCTCTGTTCTCAGTAGATGTAGGCTATAGTCAACACTTTACTTTGAATAACTCTCTGTTCTCAGTAGATGTAGACTATAGTCAACACTTTACTTTGAATAACTCTCTTGTTTTCAGTAGATGTAGGCTATAGTCAACACTTTACCTGTTTTTGGTCAAATTTCCGAAATGTTTTAAAAGTGTTATTTTAAAATGTTATTATTAGAAAACCTAGAGTTATAGAATCTAATGATAAAAAACAAACAACAAATTTTTTTTTTTTTTTTTTTTAATTCAGATATGTGTCATTCTAAGTCTTAACTTGTCAGCTATTTTAATATCAGTATTTCTAAAAAAATAACAAGATTCCTATTTTAAATATATTTGTCTCCCCTGAAATCAACTTGACTTGAAAGCCCACTTTGTATGTTACTGTTTAGGATTGCTAACTTAAACCTATCAGAACTAGGATGAAAACTGCTTTATGTTTAAGTCAACTTGTTTCTGCTGAATTATATTTTTTTATTTAAAAAAATGAAAAAATGAAATTTGCATTTATTGTTGATACACACACAAAACTGTAGGTATTTTTAGTGTACCTGTAATTAAATGATGCTAGTGCACATTTTGATTGGTTGCATGGATTTGGATTGTTAAACTTTGATTACATATGCCAATGGAATGATTGATTGAATGAAGATGAATGGATCATAATCAATTGTCCAAAGGAAATCTTTGAACTGCATGTAATATTAGACATGCTTTGTAATGGAACAAGAATTTTCAGCAAATATTCTTTGGTTTTACTTTGTCTTGGAACAAATCCTCCACCTTAGGGACAGCATAATGAAAAAGACCACAGAGGGAGATGGTATAATCTATTGATAGAGACTTGAAAAATCTCTGGTAGGTTTAGGGAGCTTTTAAATACCAAATGATGAAATGATAAGTAAAACTTTGGTCAAAACCTAACTTGTTTAAACACCAACAATCAATCAATCACATTGTTGTAAGTTAAGGGTTGTTTTTGCTTCTTTATATGTTGATAGCTTTAAGCTCTGTCTATTGGATGAAGAATCATGATTAAATGTTAAGGCACAGTATTGAATTTTCTTTTTTTTACCTAGCATGTTTTCTTAACATGTATTATAGTGATATATAATTTCTAACATTTCACATGATATTCATTCATCATAAACAGCTCATTCATAATTATTACAAACAATATATTGTGTGTTTTACTGTCTCTAGTCTTTGCTTTCCCAGTAGTTAATGGTATGAGTGATGTGTTTTGTTTATTTTTGAATCCACTCTGGTATTGTTTTATCAGACAACTTTTAAAAATAAATGAATAAGTGCTGGGGTACTAGGGAATGCATCATCTGAATTTGAAAAAAATACCCCTCAAATATAGGGCAAATATAAATTGGTTACTGTGGATTCATTTATTTTCGTGGATTGAGGAAAACTTGCATTTTTGTGGATATTTGATTTCATGGTTTTGCCAATCTCTGCATACATAGCCCATAGAAAATATGTAATTCGTTGTACATTTGAATTCGTGGTTAACCTGTACCCACGGAACCCACGAAAATTGGTATCCAACGAATCAAAATGAATCCACAGTAATTGTAGAATAAGACTTGTCAGCGTTAGATCTTCTATATTTATTTTGAAAGTCCATATAGAGCTTTGTTGTCGAGCCTGCGACTTTTGTCGCAGAAAGCTCGACATAGGGATAGTGATCCGGCGGCGGCGGCGGCGTTCGCTAACTTCTTAAAAGCTTTATATTTTAGAAGGTGGAAGACCTGGATGCTTCATACTTTGTATATGGATGCCTCATGTTACGAAGTTTCCGTCAGTCACATGTCCAATGTCCTTGACCTCATTTTCATGGTTCAGTGACTACTTGAAAAAAAAGTTAACATTTTTTGTAATGTTAAATTCTCTCTTATTATAAGTAGCAGGATAACTATATTTGGTATGTGCGTACCTTGCAAGGTCCTCATGCCCGTCAGACAGTTTTCACTTGACCTCGACCTCATTTCATGGATCAGTGAACAAGGTTAAGTTTTGGTGGTCAAGTCCATATCTCAGATACTATAAGCAATAGGTCTAGTATATTCGGTGTATGGAAGGACTGTAAGGTGTACATGTCCAACTGGCAGGTGTAATTTGACCTTGACCTCATTTTCATGGTTCAGTGGTTATAGTTAAGTTTTTGTGTTTTGGTCTATTTTTCTTATACTGTATGCAATAGGTCTACTATATTTGGTGTATGGAATGATTGTAAGGTGTACATGTCTAGCTGGCAGGTGTCATCTGACCTTGACCTCGTTTTCATGGTTCAGTGGTCAAAGTTAAGTTTTTGAGTTTTGGCCTTTTTTTCTAATACTATATGCAATAGGTCAACTATATTTGGTGTATGGAAATATTTTATGATCTATATGTCAGTCGTGCAGGTTTTATATGACCTTGACCTCATTTTCACGGTTCATTGCTCAGTGTTAAGTTTTTGTGTTTTGGTCTGTTTTTCTTAAACTATAAGCAATAGGTCAACTATATTTGTTATATGGAAGAATTGTTAAACTGTACATGTCTGCCTGGCATGGTTCATCTGACCTTGACCTCATTTTCATGGTTCATTGGTCAATGTTTAGTTTTCTTGGTTAATGTTAAGTTTATGTGACAGTTGTAATAAAGCTTTATATTTAGGACTATCAACATAATATCAATGATTAGTAAAGAAGGCGAGACATTTCAGCGTGTGCACTCTTGTTTTAGTCTTTATTAGGTGTAGCCAAGTAATTGAATATTCAGAACTTTGCATGCTATATATAGGTAAACAGGTATAATTAATTAGAATCCTTTTTGCATATATTCAAGACTTTGACTGTGTTTTTATTGTTTTTTTATATATTTGAATCTACTGCACAAGATTGCAATTACTGAAAAAGTTAAGCTTAAAAAAAATAAATCTTACTAGACTAGTTACTATAGATTATCTTTTAAAATATATGTGACTGGATGATGAATGAAGATGTAGGGTAAAATGTATGAATAGAGATATAAAAAGCTAATGCCAATGAGATAGCAATATGATGGTTTGCTGCCCTTTTTGTTAAATTTGCTGAAATTGGAAAAAAAATATCCTCTTAGGTATAGTAATACAGTCCTAGAACTTCTGGATGGTCAGTCAATTTTAGTTTCTTAATGGCATAACTTACGAATTTATAGTTTATTTAAAACTTAACATGAATTGTTTTGACCTGTGAGTACATGGAAACTGGTGTGTTCACATAATGATGACTTCACCATATATACGATTACATATAATATTCTTTGTTTTGTTTGTCTCTAGTTAGGCAGAGTGTTTACATTTATGCTTTTACCAACAGATACTCTTAAAGGTTTTGCACATCATCAGATTAATAAAAATTAGCCAATGATTTTTTTCCAAATCAATCATTCTGCAAGGTGTTTGTTAAATATGATATTGTTTTGAACTGAGTAAATGTATATGTATGCAACATTTTATGGTTTTAAAGATTGATTTATTATGGTTTTGGGATATAAATAAAAGATAAACAAAGAGACTACCAGTTTGATATCAAATTTTACTAGTCTAAAACTGAGTTCTGGATTTTCTTAATGGTCTATATGAATGCACATCAGGGTAAGTAATGTTCTCATTCAAATGGCTTAGTCCTTTTACAATACTAATTGGCCAAAATTTTTAAAATGTTTGAATTACGTATACAGTCATCACGCTCAACCACAGGCATATAGGTACCAGCCCAGGCTTGTACAAATGCTGTCGGGCCTGTAAAAATCATCTATACAGGCCAATAGAATCTAATTAAAATTTTCATAAAATTCAGCTTTGGACCTGTAGATTCAAAAGTTTATCGTGAATACTGCGTATATATATATACTATTGAAAAAAGATATTAAAACATGGGAAGGAAAAAAGGTCTTCACTTAACAACCAAAAGTTGGGTCAAAATTTAGTAATGTCATCTTGTGTAGTCTCTTTGTGTCTTTCTGTTTTACACTTAGCATGTTTAAATTAACTGTTGTGTGGTTTTACTAACAGATGGCAGCACAAGTCCTGGTGATCCCTCCTCGCCACATGATGGTATGTTTTGTATGTTATTGTATTGTAAGTTCACCTGTTTCATAAGAGCACTTGAGTTTTGTTTTGAGTTTGTTATCATACTATCACATGATCATCCTCTTACCTGAATCAATCAGGTGTAACCGATGCTGATACAAGTACTTCTTTTGAAAAGTAATGACGTATCAAAAGTCTTCACAATATTATTGAACTGACACATGGAATACTTTCATCAGGTGCAAAATTTGTAATAATTGTCTGTTATATGAAATATATACATCAAAAATCTTTTAGCTACTATCTGTATCAGCCTTGAATTTATAAAAATTATAAATATGAGTATGTAAAAATAAAGCAAATTTTACCCATTGTTAAATACATGTATTGTAAATTATTATCAAGGCATTATGTTTCTGATATTTTTATGTCACAGATTTTGATGCTTGCATGTAATTGAATACTGTAAACTCAAACATTTTGTGAGCATTTATTATCCCAATTTTTGAACAATGGACAAAGAAAGCAAGATTGATTATTGACATTTCAGGAAAAACTGCATATAAATGATGCAATCAGAATTTAAAGTAATGAGTTTTTATTTTGTGAACGCTAACCTGACGCAATTATAAAAATATCACAAAAATTTCTGAATTAACAGTATGAAAATTACACTGTACCTACCCATGAATAATGATCATAAGTTGTAGTACAAGCTAAAGATAACAAAAACTAATGGACCCAGTACTAGAATATGAACAAAATACTTTCTAATCTAAATAAATGTACATATAAACAATGCTGTAAAATAAATATTCAGCTGTACTAACTCATGGTTGATAATTAAGTCTCCCAAACGAAGTTTGGGAAGACTTATTGTTTTTGCTCAGTTCTTATTATTATTATTATTCTTCTTCTTCTTCTTCTTCTTCTTCTTCTTCTTCTTCTTCTTCCGCCGCTTTTAAATTTGAACTTGTCCGCACCCGTTCTCCAAAACCGCTTGTCGGATTAACTTAGGGTTTCGCAATATGTTAGACTAACATGTCTAGTGGTGCAATCAGGGTTTTGTTTTTGCAATGGGGTTTATAAAGGGGTACTTTGAGGGGCAAAAAGAAAAGAGGGTTTTACTATAGAACCCTATGGGATTTTATTTTTTAAAATTTTCAAATGATTATAAATTGAAAACCGTTCGTGATAGACACAAACTTTTTAATTGAAAATGTTCTAAATGATGAAGCCCATTAAATGAAATACAGGGTTAGTCCCCAGGGGTCACCCCCACCCCCTGCCATTTAAGAAAGTTCTAATACCTTGTAAGTGGTCAAGATCCCCACCCCTAAACCATATATATTCTGGTTTGTCATGCTAAGATGGTTTGAATGATATACAGGGTTAGTCCCCAGGGGTCATCCCCACCCCCTGTCATTTGAGAAAGTTCATATATCTTGTAAATGGTCGAGATCCCCACCCCTAAACCATATATATTCTGGTTTGTCATGATAAAGTACATCAAATGTAATACAGGGTTAGTCCCCAGGGGTCACCCCCACCCCCTGCCATTTAAGAAAGTTCTAATATCTTCTAAGTTGTCAAGATCCCCACCCCTAAACCATATATATTCTGGTTTGTCATGCTAAGATGGTTTGAATGATATACAGGGTTAGTCCCCAGGGGTCATCACGACCCCCTGCCATTTTAGAAAGTTCTAATATCTTGTAAATGGTCGAGATCCCCACCCCTAAACCATATATATTCTGGTTTGTCATGATAAAGCACATCAAATGTTATATAGGGTAAGTCCCCAGGGGTCACCCCCACCCCCTGCCATTTAAGAAAGTTCTAATATCTTCTGAGTGGTCAAGATCCCCACCCCTAAACCATATATATTCTGGTTTGTCATGCTGAGATGGTTTGAATGATATACAGGGTAAGTCCCCAGGGGTCATCCCGACCCCCTGCCATTTGAGAAAGTTCTAATATCTTGTAAATGGTCGAGATCCCCACCCCTAAACCATATATATTCTGGTTTGTCATGATAAAGCACATCAAATGTTATACAGGGTTAGTCCCCAGCGGTCACCCCCACCCCTTGCCATTTGAGAAAGTTCATATATCTTGTAAATGGTCGAGATCCCCACCCCTAAACCATATATATTCTGGTTTGTCATGATAAAGCACATCAAATGAAATACAGGGTTAGTCTCCAGGGGTCACCCCCACCCCCTGCCATTTAAGAAAGTTCTAATATCTTCTAAGTGGTCAAGATCCCCACCCCTAAACCATATATATTCTGGTTTGTCATGCGAAGATGGTTTGAATGATAGACAGGGTTAGTCCCCAGGGGTCATCCCGACCCCCTGCCATTTGAGAAAGTTCTAATATCTTGTAAATGGTTGAGATCCCTACCCCTAAACCATATATATTCCTATTTGTCATGATAAAGTACATCAAATGTAATACAGGGTTAGTCCCCAGGGGTCACCCCCACCCCCTGCCATTTAAGAAAGTTCTAATATCTTCTAAGTTGTCAAGATCCCCACCCCTAAACCATATATATTCTGGTTTGTCATGCTAAGATGGTTTGAATGATATACAGGGTTAGTCCCCAGGGGTCATCCCGACCCCCTGCCATTTTAGAAAGTTCTAATATCTTGTAAATGGTCGAGATCCCCACCCCTAAACCATATATATTCTGGTTTGTCATGATAAAGCACATCAAATGTTATACAGGGTAAGTCCCCAGGGGTCACCCCCTCCCCCTGCCATTTAAGAAAGTTCTAATATCTTCTAAGTGGTCAAGATCCCCACCCCTAAACCATATATATTCTGGTTTGTCATGCTGAGATGGTTTGAATGATATACAGGGTAAGTCCCCAGGGGTCATCCCGACCCCCTGCCATTTGAGAAAGTTCTAATATCTTGTAAATGGTCGAGATCCCCACCCCTAAACCATATATATTCTGGTTTGTCATGATAAAGCACATCAAATGTTATACAGGGTTAGTCCCCAGCGGTCACCCCCACCCCTTGCCATTTGAGAAAGTTCTAATATCTTGTAAATGGTCGTGATCCCCACCCCTAAACCATATATATTCTGGTTTGTCATGCCAAGATGATTTGAATGATATACAAGGTTAGTCCCCAGGCATCACTAATGCATATAACTTTACTGGACCAAACCAATTTTCACTGGACTTTGCCCAATGTCAGGCGACCCTGGGAATTAAGAATTATGGGAGCTTCGTTTGGGAGACTTCGTAACAGCATCCTGTTACAATCATTTCTTGTTATTAAGACCTTTCATTAATAGTAATAGCAAAAACATTCTTGAACAGATAGAATATTAATTACTAATTTTCTACATATTTTGAAGATGTTTGTTAAGATATCTTGTAAATGTAGAAATTTAAGTTTTATTAGGACTGGTGTTGTCAGGAAATAAAAGTTCTTTCATAACATTAGTTCCAATTGGAAAATGTATTCTGGAATATAATTACAGTATTTGTTCATTACGGAATACATGGTAAAGAATATTTATTATGGCATTGTTTATAGCAAAGTTTCCAGAGCAACTTCTGTTAGGCAGAACAAATATATTTTGACAATGTTCATGGCTAGTTATGTTAAATACATAAATATTGTTTCTAGCTAATGAACCAGTACCAGTATTTATAATTGAGGTTTTGATTTGGATGTTTCAAACAAAGAATGATATGCTCCAAAAAATATAATATTTCCATCACAATCCCTCATTAAGTATAAATTTTATATATAAGTATATAATTATATATTTGCACTGCTGTAAATTTAATTTTATTTCTACATTCTTATTGAAGACCGTGAAGACAACTTGTTACATCATTTAAAGGGAGGACTACATCCCATGTCACAAGAATGTGATAGAGCACCAAGTCCTGTAGGTTCTCCGATCATAACACGTCATAAGTTTGGCTTTACAAGTGAAAGTGAAAGTGTAGACCAAAGGGAGTTAATAGAACAATTGAATCAGACTGAGGTGTTACATGAACAAGCTGATATTATACATTATCTTGTTATGAAGAAGTAAGTACTTAGGTTTTTTAAATTTGCCATTTATTAGCTACAATGCTATTTTAATTACAACAAAAACCAATTTGCATATATGATATTTACACTTCAGGGTTTGGTTCAATTTGAACATGTTGAGCACAATGTCATAAACCATAAAATACAAATGCAACTGGGTCTGTTATTTCAACAATAGTGATAGAATGCAGAGCTCCTCTTTAAAAACGGCCTTATTGAAATGCCCTTATTATATCATAGTGCCTTTTGTGCATCACATATTGTCACCCAAGCATAGTCATAACCTCTTGACTCTGCTATATATTCAGTTTGATTTGAAATTTTTTATGGGAATTAATGGACTTTGACCATTTTTATTAGAATTGTAACAATAACACCTAAATGAGTGAAACTCCTTTGAGACCATTTAACAAAAAGCTTTCATTGAGAGTAAGATTTTTCGACATCGTGTTTAGTTGACCATAATGTACCACCATTTGACTATTTTTACAGGAGTTATAGGATTTGACCATTTTTTGTCGAGCCTGCGACAAAAGAAAGCTCGACATAGGGATAGTGATCCGGTGGCGGCTTTAACTAACTTCTTAAAAGCTTAATATTTCAGAAGGAAGAAGACCTGGATGCATCATACTTTGTATATAGATGCCTTATGATATAAAGTTTCCGTCTGTCATATGTCCATTGTCCATGACCTCATTTTCATGGTTCAGTGACTACTTGAAAAAAAAGTTAAGATTTTTTGTAATGTTAATTTCTCTCTTATTATGAGTAATAGGATAACTATGTTTGGTATGTGCGTACCTTGGAAGGTATTCATGCGTATCAGACAGTTTTCATTTGACCTCGACCTCATTTCATGGATCGGTGAACAAGGTTAAGTTTTCGTGGTCAAGTCCATATCTCAGATACTATAAGCAATAGGTCTACTATATTTGGTGTATTTGATGATTGTAAGGTGTACATGTCCAACTGGCAGGTGTCATCTGACCTTGACCTCATTTCATGGTTCAGTGGTAAAAGCAGGTTTTATTTGACCTTGACCTCATTTTCACAGTTCATTGCTCAATGTTAATTTTTTGTGTTTTGGTCTATTTTTCTAATACTGTATGCATTAGGTCATCTATATTTGGTGTATGGAATATTTTACAATGTACATGTCAGTCTGGCAGGTTTTATTTGACCTTGACCTCATTTTCATGGTTCATTGCTCAATGTTAAGTTTTTGTGTTTTTGTCTGTTTTTCTATACTGTATGCTTTAGGTCAACTATATTTGGTGTGTGGAAATATTTTACAATGTACATGTCAGTGTGGTAGGTTTTATTTGACCTTGACCTCATTTTCATGGTTCATTGCTCAATGTTAAGTTTTTGTGTTTTGGTCTGTTTTTCTTAAAGTTTAAGCAATAGGTCAACTATATTTTGGTGTATGGAATGATTGTAAGGTGTAGGTCTGTCTTGCAGGTATCATTTGACCTCCACCTCATTTTCATGGTTCATTGGTCAATATTCAGTGTTCCTGGTTAACTTTGTTTCTTAGATACTATAAGCAATAGGTCAACTATATTTGATGCATGGAATGATTTTAAGGTGTACATGTCTGTCTAGCAGGGTTCATCTGACCTAGACCTTATTTTCATGGTTCATTGGTCAATATAAAATTCCATGGTTTAGTCTGTTTCTTTTATACTATAAGCAATAGGTCATCTATATTCGGTGTATGAAATGATTATATTAAAAGTGTACATGTATTACCGGCTTGGTTTATCTGACCTTGACCTCATTTTCTTGGATCATAAATGTTAATATGATGCTTGTGATAAAACTTTATATTTAGGACTACATGTATCAACATAAAATCGATGGTCAGTATAGTAGGCGAGACATTTCAGCGTGTGCACTCTTGTTTAGTATTGTGACAATTTGACAAGGGTGAAGTGCAACTGGGTATGCACCTCAACCCTTATCGTGGGTTATTTTGGAAGTTGACTAGCTGACACATGATAGAGTTGATTGGTTAATTGGTGGATGGTCAAGGTTAGGCCTGGCTGTGGTGGTCATCATCAAGTAAATTACAACAAATGCATCTTCAATTGTATAAAATGTTAATTATTTCAACATTCAAATATATATACATATGTACAATCCATTTAACAATTACGGTTCTTGCCTATGTAACCATTAACCGTTAAGTTCATCATCTCAGTAACGCCTAAGCTTCAATTCAATTTTTTATAAAACCATAAAATTTTTGCATTCGCATTATGTTATGGCATTGTCTGCGTCTTCGTCGTATGAAGACACTTTGGTTTCCAGGCAATAACTTGAGTATAAGTGTATGGATCTCTATGAAATTGTAACACAAGGTTCCATACCACAATAGGAAGGTTGGAATTGATTTTGGGGTGTTATTGTCTTAACTGTTTAGGTATTAGGGGCCAAAAAGGGGCCAAAAGCAAGCATTTTTCTTGTTTCAGGACAATAACTTTTGTATAAGTGTACAGATCTCTATGAAATTGTACTACAAGGTTACATACCTTTAAAGGAAGGTTGGGATTGATTTTTTTTTTCGGGGGGGGGGGGTTTATGGCCAAAACCGTTTAGGGATTATGGGCCATTAAAAAGTAGAATTTTCATGTTCTGGACAATAACTTGAGTATAAGTCTATGGATCTCTATGAAATTGTACCACAAGGTTCTATTCCAAAAAAGGAAGGTTGAGAATGATTTTTGGGGTTATGGCCCTAACCGTTTATGAAAAAGGGCCCAAAAACAACACTATTTTTAATACTTTGCTTATTTCTTGAGCAATTTCAATGGGTTTTAATTCAAAGTCTTGAATTCTTGGGGTTCTTTAATATGCTGAATCTAACCATGTATCTAGATTTTGGATTTTGGACCCAGTTTATAAATTGGTCCAAATTGTGGTTCAAAAGGTCCAAAATTAAACTTTGTTTGATTTCAAAAAAAATTGAATGCAAGGTTTTTTTTTGAAATGCTGATTCTAAACATGTAATAAGATTTTTGATTTTGAGTTCCTAAATTCAACTTTGTTTGATTTCAACAAAAATTGAATTTATGGAGTTCCTTGATATGATGAATCTTACTGTGTATTTAGACTTTGGATTTTTGGCCGCATTATCAAATTGGTTCACGTTGAGGTCCAAAAGGTTCAGAATTAAACTTTGTTTGATTTCATCAAAAATAGATATAGCATCATATTCTAATTTTAGAAATAATGTATAAATATAGTTTGAAATTTACTGTTCATTATTAGATAAAATAATAAGAGGTAAGTTTTATAGATTTTTAAAGACTGTATTAATGATGAATGATATTTTGGATATTGTTTCTATATGATCGTATATTGCTATCATGTCATCGTCCAAAGACATTTGGTTTCCGGACAATAACTTTAGTTTAAGTGTATGGATCTCTATGAAATTTTTTGAAGAAATTTGTGGTAGGTTTGTTTAGTATTCAGTATGAATTAATTTTCAGAATGCTATATATTTTTAAATATATATTTTTTTTTTTTTTTTATGAAGCGAACTCCTTTAAAAACTTAGCTAATATTGTCCATTAATAAATAAATAAATTAAATTCTTGGTGAACTTGGATATTATGGTCCATTATCAAATAAATGAATTAAATTCTTGGTGTATTTGGATATGCCGAATCTAACCGTGTACTTAGATTTTGGATATTGGACCATAATAGGTAAAATCCAATTTCCAATTTTTCAGTTCTTTGACCACATTCATTCTGTGACAGAAACCTATGCTGTGTCAAATATTTAATCACAATCTAAATTCAGAGCTATATCAAGCTTGAATGTAGTGCCCATACTTGCCCCAACTGTTCAGGGTTCGACCTCTGCGGTCTTATCTAGCTGCGCCCTGCAGTGCATTTTATTTTTAACTAAACTAAGTATTTTTTTTATACATGTATATTGCTTGACCTATCAATCACAAAATAAAATGATTGTCCAATCAGATATACTCCTTCATTACAAAAGGTTGGACTATTTCTTTTTTTAATCCCACTATTGACAGCATAAAATCTTATGGGTTACCAAACATTAGTTTTAAACATATCATTACATAGTACATACATTTGTACTTAATCTACAAAGGAAATAACAGCTTTAATTTAAGAGGCCCCTCATGGGGGTGTCCAAGTAATCACATAATCACAAATTTTCTTCCAATATAATCACATAATCATTAATTATTTCTTGAAACAAGATAATCAAATAATCAAAAATACAGTCCTAGATTATCAAATAATCAAATAATCATGAAATATTTGGTCTGGTAATCAAATAATCACTATAAAAACGGCCAAGTAATCACATAATCAAAAACCCCATGAGGAGGCTCATTTAAAAGGTGCTTATTCAGCTTATTTATCAATTAGTTTCAAACTTATTGTTAAAGACCAAAACTTGGATGATAACAATTACAGGAAAATATCTTAATCCTTAATCTCAAGATATTAAACAAAAATCTTATCTTGACATGTTTGCAAAAAGAGTAAAACCTGTCACAAAGAATTCAAACTACTAATTCTTAAAAAATACACAGATATCTAAATAATGAAAATAATTTTTAAATCTTGAACTTTTAGCTCAAAAATAAATATGAATTTATCTAAAGGAGATAACTGGCTTGCAAATATTGCTAGTGAAAAGTATCACTTTTCTTTGGTGGACATAAAAATAAATATGAAATTTATTTAAGGGAGATAAGTGCCTTAAAAATATTGCTAGTGAAAAATATGTCACTTATAAGCTCTCATACATTGTAGGATTGTTTGCCATTATGTGTAGTTGACCATATTAGAACGTTGTTTCGATATGACCATTTTTTTGTGAGTTATGGGACTTCAACTATATTTTGGAGTTACAATAACACCTTTTGAACCCAACACCTCTGAGACAGATTAACAGAAAGCTTTCATACTTGTTAGTATTGTTTTCCACTATGTGTAGTTATTTAAATTTGATCATTTTAAAGGAAGTTATGGGACTTTGACCATTTGATTTAGTATTGTGACAATAACACCTTGTGAACACAACTCCTCTGAGATAATTTGGCAGAAAGTTCTCATACTTGGAAGAATTGTTTGCCATTATGTGTAGTTGACTATATTTTACTGCCATTTTGATTTGACTATTTTATTGGAGTTATAGGACTTCAACTTTTTTTGGAGTATTGTAATGTGTCACCTTGTGTATGCAACTCCTCTTAGATCATTTGACAGAAAGCTCTCATGCTTGGTAGAATTGTTTGCCATCATGTGTAGTTGACCACATTGTACTGTCATTTTGATATGACCATTTTTATGGGGGTTATGGGACTTTTACCATATATTGACTATTGTACCACAATTAAACATTGTGACACACAATTTAATTCCTCATTTATACAGCACGAAGGACATATCGCTATGATGTAGAAATCTTCTTTTTTTTAATTTTACTATCCAAATAGCTTTGATGGATTTTACTTAGTCAAAAAATGGACTTTGTTGTAGCTTCACTCAAACCTATATTATCTCAGATGAATAGTTCTTTCATTGTTGAAAAAGGACTTTATCTCTGGTACAAAGATGTCTCATTGGCAATCAAACCACATCTTTTTTATTATATTATTGGGGTTGGAATAAGACATTTTTCATTTTTAGATTCAATTTTACAGACCATTTTATCTGTATTTCTTGAATTTTTGACATTGAAAAAATACACATTCCCTAATAATGAAAGCTTTTTGTCTCCCCTGTCTATGATAGACATAATTCTATGTTAACCCTCCCTAAAAAACCCACATTTTCTCAAAATGATTTCCAATATTTACAGTGGCCCTAATTGGAAATTAGAAGTTGGAGGTAAACAATGTACACTTAAAGAATTACTTGTAGAATTGTATGAGAAGGTAAGTACTGTTATTTCAGAAATTATTGCATGCATTTATTATTGTGATTTTTGAAGAATGGGCAAAAATGTGAGATTACAGAAAAATCGGCAAACAGATATATGTATGATTATTCTCAATAATAAAAACTTGGCAATAAATTCTTAATTTACAGTATATGATTGGAAAAGAATAGAAAAGAGATGACGTACACAAGACAAATATACAATTGGGGAAAACCCAATTTATTAACGTATATTGCTGTTCTTCACCTTAAAAGATGCTGAAAGGTCTTCAACTATGAATCAAATTATTTCATCTTACAGAAAGATTAAGAGTTTTCTTAGCATTGCTTTAAACTATGAAGTCATGACAGGTACTGTAATATTTGTCTATAGTGAGAACGTTCTTATCACATACAGGTATTTAAGAATAATGATTAACATGCAACCCATAAGTATTTGTCACATTCAATTCTTTTTTATAAATTTCAATTTTTCTAAAAATGTATTTTAGAGTCATTTCTTGGTACCACAAGAAGGGGAATTGTCACATCTTTATGATGTTAATTTGGTGAAAATTTTAATTTTGTGGTGTTTTCATTTTCTGATTATTTAAAAAAAAATGGTTTCTTTTTTTGTCAGGAAATTTGCTATATATTTTATTTAAGATAAAATCATCATTATGTTTACATAAGGAGATATAATAACAATAGAAGACAGATCTATCAACAAATAAAGAAATAAAATTCAAAAAATTCTGCACATTTCAAACCTTAAAATAGTTTTTGAGAAAATGTTATATGAAATATAAAGGAAAAATTTGTAGGTGACGAACACTTCTGTCCTTGCACTAAACATGCACCTTGAACTTAATTTGTCCATAATGCGGTCACAACACTATTGCATCTTTTTTGTACAGCTATGAGCATTAGTCCAAGGGTGAAGTTTTTACAAGTACTTGTTGAGCAAAGCTGTTTGTACAGTCATCTAGTATATCTTATCTTTATATTCTACTGAACTCAATCCATTTTAATTGATTAATTTATAGGCTGGACACTGGAAGCAATGGTGGTTAGTTAGACATACAGCTGGAATGTTAAAGAAACGAGTAGAAGAACTGGCATTAGTACGTCTAGTTTCATGGTTTATTTTATCCTGAAATTTTACTTTAGTCTAATTGGTTTTAAAAAATGAGGCAAGATATGCAAAAAACCTAAAAAGAGTTTTGCTAAAGTCATTTGCTGAAATGGTCTTTCTTAGCTACGATAGTTGATGTTGCAGAAAAAAGATGTACAATGTATATATGATAATATTTTTTTTTCTTTGAAGAATAAAGCTCTTGTTTACAAGTTCAATATCTTTGGTAGGAAATAAAATAAAAATCTAATTTGTAGTTTTTCTTTTGACAGAAAATTAAAACCTCATTACAAATCTGAAAAATAGAAAATCAATCTATTAACACATTCATAGACTATTATCAGGACTTATACAGTAAAGTTGTTGTGATGTTTCATTCATAGACTATTATCAGAAATTTTATGGTGGCGTTTCTGTGATGTTCATCATCTGTTTGTAGTCCTGTTGTTGTCACTGTGAAAGCTGATATTTTTATATTCTATTTACTTAAGGAAAGAAATTGCTAGAGTTTGTACTGTTATATATACATATATATATATATATATTTCCAGTCTGCTACAGATTTGTTAGTTAGACAGAAACAGCTGTCAGTAGGTTTACCATCAGTCAATGAAAAAGTTATTACAGCGTAAGTTACCTACTCTACCTTTCTGTTTCTTCAGAGTATTTGATACATACAAATTTGGATATGATAAAGGAGCAATGTTCCTGAGACTGATTTAAAGATATGTAGATGAAAGACATCTCTTACTATTTCCTATGATTTTAAGATGATAAGGTGAGACAAACTGTCAACAAACATAGGTATTGTCCACAATGGCTGTTCCATCTTAACATACAAGGTACCCATGAAAGGCACTATAAAAATAGGTAACTGCCTAAAGAGGCAAATTTAGAAATTAAGAAATTCACTTACATTTTTGCTGTACTTGATATATGTTTAATTAAACTTTTTCCAGTTATGATGAATATAGATGTATTTACAGTTTTACCTAAAGATTCACGGCTATTAATTAGAGGTATGCCAATGATATATGTTTAAGTAGATACTTTTATTGCCAAATTTAAATCCTTTTTATGAATGTATTATTTTTAATATCACTTTTAGAAGATAAAAAATAATCATTGAATTTACAAGTGAAAATATACTTTCAGACCACTGCCCCCAGATGAGCTAGCAGCTATTATATTTGAGGTTTATGGAGAAGATTTGAGTACAGCGTCCCTGACTCAGGTATAAGGAACACTTTAAGATAGATTTATATTGAAAATGCATTTACAAGTCTATTATAAAAGGTTTTGATAGATTTGACACAGTAGATGATCAGGTGATGGTTTTTGTGAAAGTTTTACTGTTATTCAACTAATTTTCATGAGCAACTTATTGTCACTTGAAAAAAACAAAATTATAAATGATTTTGAATTTAGCAATCATCTCTTCTCTTATATGAAAGCATCGACAGTGTTAGCAAATTGCAAAAATAATTTGCTGCATTGTCAACTAAAAAGGACTTAACCTGCAAGATGGTATCAGTGAAGGTTTAGAATCAACCATGAACTAGAGAATCACTTTGATATGCAACACGGGTCTATTATTAAATGTAATGTTTGAATGTTGTTATATATCCCATAGTTGTTGCCAGACAAGAAAATAAAATTGAAGTACATGTAATAGAAAATTTCAGCTTGAAGATATAAAAAAGTTCTGATTTCATAATATTTATTAGTTAGTTGTCTTACTTTATGTTACTTCAGATTTTGAAATTTATTTTAGGAATTAGATGATACTTAATGAGCTTTGTTTATTCCTATTAGGAGTTGTTGATATATCTAGCTATGTTTATAAGAACAGAACCAAAGTTATTTAAAGAAATGTTGAGATTGAGGGTTGGTCTTATAATTCAAGTCATGGCCTCAGAATTAGCAAGAACTCTCAAATGTTCAGGTTTGTATTGCTATTATGATTATGAATACAATGAACAAAAAAAGGTGCAAGTGTATGTTTCATGGTATGACTTTGATTTGATTGATTGCCATATTTGGCAGTGTACTTAATAAAAAAACGGAAAAACAAAATATCACTGCAGACTGTGAACTTTAGTTAGAATTATAGCATGAATTATGGTAAAGTTAATGTTGAAGAACTTTGCTAAGGTTTTGCACATAGACACTCAGCTGAGGTAGAAAATACAGGTCACAGTATAGGTGATCATTGTTTAAACTCATATTTTGACCTGTAGATGTTTTTATTTGGTTGGTATCTAACAGCTGATGTGGTAAGATGTGTTTCTGTAAGCTCCATCTAATTGACAATGACTTAATTCAATTAAGGGCTGTCCCAGAATTACATGCATGGTGGGCATAGGAGCCATTTTTTATACGCCCTTTTTTGGGACGTATTATGGTATACCGTTGTTCTTCCATGTGCCTGTCCGTCAGTCGTCAACATGTGGAACATTAACTAAAAAACATTTTAACCAATTTGCATGAAACTTTGATGAATTGTTTATATCTATTGACGTGAGCTCCCTTTTGATTTTTATAAACTTTAGATTTTACATTTTCCCAGTTATGGGTTTTTTTTCATTAAAAAAGGGGGATTTTCCAGTTTTTGGACAATAACTCAAAAATGCTTTGAGCAGTTTTCATTAAACTTTGGTGAATTGTTTATATCTATTGACGTAAGCTCCCTTATAATGTTTATAAATTTTAGATTTTAGGTTTCAGAGTTATGAGATTTTATTTATAAAAAAGGGGGGATTTTCCATTTTTGGACAATAACTCAAAACTTCAAAAGTGCTTGGAGCAGTTTTCATGAAACTTTGGTGAATGGTTTATATCTATATAAATAACCTCCCTTAAGTTTTTTATTTAATAAATTTCTGATATGACATTGAGGAGTTATGGAACTTTATTCGTTGAAAAAGCGATGGGCGTATCATGCGCTCATGGCACAGCTCTTTATTTAAAACCCCTACCACCCATAATATAAAATGTTCATATAACTTATGATTCTTACAAATTCTAAGGAAAATGCAGTCACCCACAATTAATTAATTTGAGTGCTTAACATTACATCTTTTCTTGGAGACTTTTAGGTTTAAAAGTGTTTTCATAGTATTTTTTTTACATTCACAAATGTACAGAAAGATTTCTCTTAATGTAAAAATAAGGAGATGAGGTATATCTTGTACGTTATAAATAATAATAAAAAAAATGTAATATAAAACATACTTACAGCCGATTTCAATGAGTGTGTAGGAAAAGGTAATATCTTTTGGTTAGCTTGCTTGCTAGCTGAACCGTGAAGTCATTATTAGCTTAGGTAAACTACCCTCCTTTTTGAGTAGACTAGTCCGACAGACAGATAGAATTGGTTACCTGTGGGACTAGTCTACTCATAAAGGAGGGTAGTTTACCTAACCTAATAATGACTTCACAGTTCAGCTAGCAAGCAAGCTAACCAAAGATATTACCTTTTCCTACACACTCATTGAAATCGGCTGTAAAGATATATCGTTGGAAGAATACTCTAAAGAACGATTTGAAGACCAAGGTAAAAATGGAATTGTAGATTCTTTGGAAAAGGTTAAGGGACAGTTGTCTTGCACATGCAAAATTCCACGAACACTTTACATATTCAAGGGAATGGGTGCAATTTTTTGGGGGTATAAAAACACAGCACCAAGACCCCATTGGATACTATTTGTGATACGGTGGTTGTAAAATTGCATCTTGAATTTATTTTCAGTCACATAATTATAAGGAGTATAGTAAATTTAGCGCACCTGTGGGAAATCCCTTCTTTATTAATAGCAAGGTGTAGCTGTATCTTATAGAACTTCTACCTTTGGAAATAAATCAAATGGTGCTATAAATTTGAAAAAAGGACAAGTAAACTTCAACAGTTAAACATTGAAAGTTTTGATTTTGTATTAGTATTTTTGGAATTTACTGTTTGTTTTAAACTGATCTGAAAGTATTTTCTGCATGAAAGCAAGTCTTAAGTAAAACCGGTAATAGCGGAGAAGCAATCAGGTTCACATGATGTGTTTAGAATAAAAATGTTGTAATTTGTCGGCTTAAGATATTTACTGTTTAAATGTGTCATTTACCTAGCTTTATATATATAAAAAAAGAGACAATCTAAGTTGTTTTTCAACATAACATTAAACATAGTATCTTCACTTAAAGTCCCAGATGGTAATGATAAGATAGCAATGAATTATTTACATTTTAATACTTTATATCCAATTAGCATTACTCCTAAAAGTATTAATTAAAGGTATGATATAGAACTGAAGTAAACTGTTTGCCATCTAATGATTTTTTGTGTAAAACAGTTAACCTATCTTTTAAAACTGACTAAGAGGCATAAGTTATTACTACAATGGGTGATGCTCCTACGGTGATGATTTCCAAAAAAAAAATAACAAACAACTGATTTTAGAGTTTGTTCTTATGTTGTGAAGCTCACAAACATGTTTAACCCCGCCACATTCTTTATATGTCTGTCCCAAGTCAGGAGTCCTTTAGTTGTTGTTGTAGGTTCATGTCTGTCATATTTGTTTTTCGTAAATTGTTTTGTTATGAATTCGGCCGTTAGTTTTGTGAATTGAATTGTTTCATAATTTTCATGTCAGACCTTTTATAGCCAACTATACTGTATGGGTTTTTCTCATTGTTGAAGGCCATACGGTTGCCTATAATTGCTTATATCAACTTCATTTGAAGTTTGGTGGATAGTTGTCTCATTGGCAATCATACCACATCTTCTTATTTTTATGAAGCCTGAAGTTGATAGCATCAATTGCTTCTCAAATTTACACCAATCCAAACAGGGATTGGCTCCTTTTCGGTAAATTGTTGCTGTTTTCTTATGTATGTTGTCTGACCCTTAAGCCATATCTTCTGTTGATGTTAACTTTTGTTTTTCCCTGGGATCAAGTGTATTAGCCTTACTGAACAATTGTTATGAACTTACTCATTTAGAAGAAATATCTGAATATAGAGATAACGTTTATGACTTTTTTCAAACAAGGGTATTTAAATATGCTCACTTTATGCCTACACACTTGAACACAAGTTAGATGAAATCAAATACAATTTAATAGATATAAACTGTTATGAAACACTTTTTGCTACCAAACCAAGGCTAATTTGATACAAAATCCTGGTATTATTTTAAATAGAAAAGATAGAATCTGGCATGGTGGAGGTGGTTTGGTTGCTTATTTTAAAGAAAAATGACAGTTGGTAGAAAAACTGAATTTGAAATAAGTGACATTGAAACAATGTGGTGTTAAATTAAACCTGTTAAAAGAAATCTTTACACAGAGTACAGACCTATAAATTCATAAAACTGATCCTGAATGAACAAAAGATTTCTTATATACCTAAATAAAAATTACTTGAAACAATTGATTTTTACACTCAAATACATCTTGTACAGACCGTGCGAGTCCTGCATGGGTAGTCAAGGTCGTTAAAAAAACCAACCTAGTAATGGTATGTCTTGTACGTAAAGCTTTTGTGTATTATAGAAAATTGTATGTTGAATGCTCACAGATAAAATCATTGGGTTAAGTCTGATAGTAAAAGAATTTATTTATTTTTGTATCCCCTGTAACTTTGTAGGAGATGAAGCTTCAGACCATCTACTTAATTTGAGTCCATTTGAGATGAAAACATTACTCCATCATATTCTAAGTGGAAAGGAATTTATAATCAGTGCAGGTAAGATTTAATGTATCAATGTCTGTTTAGAAATCACTTATCATAAAGATTGTGGTTTGAGAAGGAATCTACTCACCATCTAAACCATACAAAAATTGTTTATAGACCCATTTTAAAAAAAGACTACATTTCTTATGTATCTTTATTTTAACATGATTTTCAGTCACTTTCTGTTTGACAATTCTTTAATTTTTTATTTAATCCATTGAGCATGGATTATTTTCAATGTCTTAAGTGGGGATAAATTTTGCACACCATTGCTACTTTCTGTTGTTTTTTTTTTAATGATAGGCTTTAAAATTGACTGAAAAACTTTACAATTAAAAATTTGTGGGAATTTTTTTTTTGTCCTACTCAATTAGAAAACAAGAATTGGGAAAAGGGAATTTCAATTAATGTATGTTAATAGTGCAAAGCAATAAAAATTTTACGTTAGAAAGAACTGACAAAAAATTCATGGTAACTCTGCTTTTAGACAAGACAGAGTGTGTTCATATATATATGAAAGGTTTCTTAATATGAAGTAAGTTATGAAACATATGTTATTCTAATTTTACTAAACATGGGATAAAAAAAAGATTGGGTCATGTATATATATGTTCTGTGTATATCCCTCCTTTCAATAGGTGTATTTCCACTGGACGTTAAGCAACCAACAATCAAAGAATCAATCAGTAGGTGTAACCCCACTAGAATGTTGTAAAGAAGGAACATTTAACACACAATATCATTAACACCGGTAGTAGAAGTCTAGTCACTTATTCTCTTTTGTCTAGGGCAATAATTGTTATCAGCATATAATTGTTATTTTTCTGACTGGTATTTTTTCAGGACCTTCAGGTAAAAAATTATATATCTTGTTTTTATATTTTTACAATTTGAGGTCAAAAGTATTTCACCATTTGAATATCCAATGTGTATGTCATATAAAAAATTTCCTTGAGTTATTTCTTGTCCAAATTGAATGAAATTTTTACCAAGAAATTCTGTCTGCAGTCTGGCAATAAGTATGAAATATGTTTATGATTTATACTTTTAAGGAAATCATTGTTTAAAGACAATTATGAATTTCTGCGATAAAAATATATGTATATATGGCTTTAAAAGAAATAATTACACTTAATTTCAACATTTTTATATAAATTTTTATAGAATGATTTCTCAGTAATGACATATCATAAAAATATTTCCTTATAACTATAAAAAGAATTGTAAACATTTTTGAGTTTGGCAGTAAAAATTGCATTTAAATCGGATCTGAAGGAAGTTTTTGACAATGTTTTTATATGAAATACATATTGGAATTTCCAAGTGGTGAAAAACTTTTGACCTAAGACTGTAGTTGCTTTTTTGATTTAAGATTTATCCTATTCATGGTTGTTCCCATTGACAGTTTATACATTTCTTTAAGATTTACAGGATGTATTGGATATTTCTCAATGAGACAACAGGCCAGCGACACAAATAACCCTAAAGACCTCTAAAGGTCAACTTAAGTTCTTCAATAAAAGATAAATGTCATGTACAATATGTCTAGCCCTTAATTGCCTCAAGTCTAGAAAAGTAAAGAATAAAACAAAGATCTGTCATCTACACAAAATTTCAGGATGACAAAAACCATTAAGTTATGATTAGATACAAGCACAGACAATGCTCCTGTTTAGGGACAGGCACATGGACATTGGGCAGAATAAGCTAATTTTTTAGTACTCAACCGTCTTTTCTTTATCAGGATCAGTGGAATAATGAAATGTACATGAAAAAGCATAAAATAAAAATCAATGCAAAAAATGTACTATAATAATATAGTAAATTTTATTCCGAAATTTACAAATGATTAAAAATTTTGTTTAGAGGATATACATTTTGTTATGCATATTTAACATCTGTTTTTTTTTTCTTACTAAATTTGTGCACTTCTCTACCAAAAATATTAAATTTCAACATGTAATTTATTTCAGAATTTTTTTAACATGACCATCATTTTATTTTATTAATATTTTCCACTAGAAAATGATGAATGGAGTAAGTAAATATAATTTGCAGCACACACACTTATTTATATGTATTATTTCATGTTTTAGAAATATTTGAAACACTGAAGATATTAACCCAAATCTGTGTCTTTGTCAGGTGTGAAAAAAATCCCATAAAAATACTTTGCAGTAAAATTTATTTCCCCTTACATGTTATATCCCAAAGTATTACTAACTCCCTAATCATTAATCAATACATGTATTATGAAAAAAGTAATTATGAAGGCATTATAAATATACATTGAAAAGTTCATCACCTTTCTTAACATCATAAAGAACAAAATTTTCTTGTTTGCCTTCCAATCGCAAAATCTAATGATCTATAATTGTATGATGAACTTTCACTAGTGTACTTATACTGCTGGTAAAGTAACAGAAATAATGGAAAATAAAATTCCAGTTGTTATTTCTGAACTTGTAAACACTTTAACATGAGTAACTGTTTGAAGTTTTTGCTTTCTAACATGAATAAAAGGTAATAATTTACACTTGAATGTGAAAAAAATATATATTCACAGCTGCTATGATAACTACAAAAATCAGAATTATTTCCCTTGCAAAAAATGCTGATTCTGTTTCATTTGTATGTGATCAATATTGGATGGACTTTTTGTATAGGGACTTTGGTGACTTATCTGTTTAGGTGGCTACAGCTTACGTTGTTACATCAAACCAGACTGTTAACTATTTGGTAAAGGTCTCTATACATTACATAGAATAGGTCATTAACAATCATTTTTTTTTTATTAAATGCTCAATATTGCATCTACTAGAACATGTTCATTGATTTACCCTAGGCAATCTGGTTCCCTCAACCTATGGCAGTAACTGCTTATAAATTGTATAAATAACAAAATCTTGTGAAACACCTGCAGAAATACACAGGTATTTTTACTAATTTTACAAATTAAAAAAGCCAAAAAAATATCATATGGTAAAACTTTGATATGCAAAACCACAGTTTATCATTTGTATGATCATTTTGCATAAAAAAGTAATGCAAGCATGGGTGATATGCTTTTGTTAGCTTACACAAGTCTGTTGCAGTTAATTGCATTGATTGCATTGTAAATTTGACATCAGGTCATTGTATTCTGAGAAATATTGTAAATTTTATTTTCATTTGATACATGTCAATTTTTTCATGGAATATACACCTTAAATATCTCGTCTTTGGTTCAGTTCTTTTTGAATGTATCAACCAACTCTAGTATTTTGTTTTATCCTTTGAAAAACTAATTGCATTGTCCACAAGTAATGCTATCAGTGATACTTTATCAAGTAAATTTTTCATTTCATCAACATTTCAGTTTTATACAAAATCTTTTTAACAGTTAGGAATATCTTTATCCAACTTTGCCTGATAATGCCCCTTGGAAAAGGACTTCTATTGATTTTGGAGTCAAAGGTAAAGGTCACTGCAGCTTTTAATAGCTAACATTTGGGCAAAATTTTGGTTTTCATATGTTATCTTTTCAAACATTTGTCTAATTATTACCAAACTTAATTCTATATTACCCCATGGTAGGAGAAAGATGCCTTTTCAATTTTGGGTGAATTATACAAATAATGAATTATATAAATATGTCAAAAAATCAGGTCACAGCATCTATTGAAGCTGCAGTTTTGGCAACTTTTGGTTTCCAGAATCAGGATGTTATCTTTTGAAACATATTTTCAATTTGTACCAAATGTGATTGACCCATGAGATGACAAACAACATGTTTGAATTTTGGGTCACTTGGTCAAAGGTCAAGGTTGAAACAACTCATCTATAAAGATTGCAACTCAGCTTATGCACCCATGGTGCTTCTGTAACTTTTCTCAGTATACAATGTTTTTTTACCTTGCTTATGCTTTCATACTATTATATAGTAAATGACTTTGGCAGTTTTATTATATTTTTATATGAATTTTCTATATATACAATTGTGCTTTATAGCAAATAGAATAGGAATATACAGCAAACATTTATTTCAAAATTTAGCTTGGGAGGGTAAGGTCTTATGATTTATCTTAACATTTACTGGAATAAAAAGTATATTAACCCTCTGCTAGAGTAAATATGATTTGTGTAAGGCAAAATGGCTGTTTTGCTATGCAATAATCATTCAAATCACAAAAGGATGTGCAGTTGTGGAATGCATTGTTATATATAACACTGTTTTGCATGTGTTTTTATTTTTAGTGCATTCTGAACATGATGATGAAAGTTGTTTACGTGTAAAATCAAAGAAAAAGCAAGATGAGGCTAACCAATTTGCCAGACTCAGTAAATCACCACAAAAGAAGGTTCTATCATTTTTATATACTTTTGTTATTTTCTATAATATTGAAATGTTCTAACAATTTAATCTGAAGTACTTATAATTTATATTTTTAAGTAGCATATATGATTTTGTTAGTCCAGAGTTTTGCATCTTTGTCCTGATCTTAAGAGAAATTGACATGTGCATATGATATTTTAAGACAGGGTGCTGAAATAAAAATGGGAACAGTTTAAAAAATTCATGCTTCATAATTCCCAGGCATCTTGATTAGAAAATTTCCTTAATTTTAAACCAAAAAAATTATGTTTAATTTAATATGATTGGCTTTTTTATTACTCAAAATGAGGGAATTTCAGTGAACTTTTCTACTTATAGAAAAGAACATATTTTTCTATTATTACCAAAAGCAAGTTTTATGATTGTTAGAACATTTCAACTACAATTTTTCTCTTGGTTAATAACTTGATAATAATTCATCTGTTAGCTGTTGGTTTGTGAGAGTGACAGGCATGAGGAGTGTTCTTGTTTTGGATAGTTTATGCTTTTCAATGATGGAATGTTAATCTTCATCACTTATAAATTTTTGTTTCTCTGACAAAGGTGATAGCAAGTTCTTCTCAGTTGGTGAGAGTATTGTGAGGGAAGAGACAGTAAGGAAATTAACAAGTGATGTAAGTCAGTCATACAATTTGTCTTTGTCTAGAAATCAATCTGTCCATTGGCAAATATTTGATGCATATTTTGGATGAGAACAAGTTTACAATAATTTTGATATTTTTTATTGGTTTTATTCAACACTCAGCTAGATTGATAAAAATTACTTAAATTTAAAGTTAAATTGTCTCTTGCAATAAAGTGGTAATTTCATGTTCTGCGATTGGAAGCTTATTCATATAAATAGCTTTGTTGGCACCAGCATCCTATTTTATCACTGGTTTTCCCCTGAAAGATAAGAAAAAAGAAGGAAGAAACAAATTATCCTTTGATTTGCTCATGAGATAAAATATTTCTTTAACTCTGGTAGTTATATTTTTTATTTTAACTTGGTTGATAAAGGTCAATCTTTGAAGTTTTTAGATTTAACAGTTAAAAGTGCAGAAATATGGTAACTCAAGCCCATAATATCTGAGAGAGGAAATAAACAGTTAAAAGTGCAGAAATATGGTAACTCAAGCCCATAATATCTGAGAAAGGAAATATAGTTTTCTCTAAGACACTAGTCTGGCTATGAAATATAGCCTCACTAAGGAGGTTATCTATGGAAGATTTCATAGAGTTGTTGCATAGATTCTTTAAATTGCAAAGGTATTTTTATGGCAATGAGTACTATTTATTATAAAGATTTATGGGTGTTAAGAGGAGGAGTTGGTGTCAGATTGTTAGTTGCAGTTATATTAAAAAGGTAGTTTTGTGTTATTCATCACACAATATCTACACACACACTTGAAAAAACTCAAAACCGAAGGAACAATGCTTTTATGACTGTTTTTTCGTCTCAAAGTCATTTTGAGGCCTTCTACACAGAGAAAAATATTGTACCTCAATGTAAGTTTAAGACAGCTACTAGTATCAATTTGGAGAATTCTTTGCTATATATCAATAACACTACATCTAATTCTTCGATGAACACACATGTAGGGTAATAACAACCAATCATGGACTAAAAAGTATAAATTTTTCACAAGATAAAGGTCAGATGCAAGCTTGGTAAAACTTAGAGAAAATGTTTTGGCATGGAGCTTGGATATAGGCCAAACACTTTGGAGTATTTTTGTTTTTTTCATTTTGGGAATTTAGTGTAGTAATGCTTCAATTGACGGGCTTGTTAATTATTGATTGAAAATGTCAGTAACTTCCTTTGAAAATAATAAAAAAAACATATTGTTGTCTAAGTTATCTTTTTTATTTTATCAGATGTTAGATTATGCTTTGAATCAGCCTGAGACTGAAGAGGAAGATATAACAACAGATAGACAAGGACAATGGTTAAGGAGGAGACGGTTAGATGGGGCATTAAACAGGGTACCAGAAGGATTTTATCCTAGAGTCTGGAAAGTTTTATCTATGGTAAGTATTATTGAAGAGATGTATAGATAGGGCAAGGTACCAGAAAGTATCTGTCATACAGTCTTTATTGATGGTAAGTAAAGGAAAAAGTTCGATAGGACATTAATTGGGGTACTAGATTGTTCTATCTTACAATCTAGAAAGTTTTTTTATCAGTGGTAAGTGGTTATAATAAGACAGTTAATAGACAAGGTATGATGCATGGTACAGAATTACAGTGTTCAGGATTATCAATAGACGTTTTCTATTACAGTGTTCAGGATTATCAATAGACATTTTCTATTACAGTGTTCAGGATTATCAATAAACATTTTCTGTTACAGTGTTCAGGATTATCAATAAACATTTTCTATTACAGTGTTCAGGATTATCAATAAACATTTTCTGTTACAGTGTTCAGGATTATCAATAAACATTTTCTATTACAGTGTTCAGGATTATCAATAAACATTTTCTATTACAGTGTTCAGGATTGTCAATAGAAGGAAAGTTTTTACCTAACAGTTTAACAAGAGAGGTATGTTATTTTTGATACTATAATTTGTTTTGGACTCTATGATTTTATTATTGTCAAAATTGACCTACTCTTATTGGAAATTTTGAAAGCATTATTTGTATGCAACATTTACATTCACAATTATTAAACTTTTAATTTTGTCAATTGTTTAACAATGGCAATAATTAATGCCCACAAAAATTTCTGACACAAGAAACAATTAAACTTGGATATATACACTAGGAGGGGAGATCCTTATTGAATATATATATGGTGTCCACATGTCTATAGTAGTAGTATTATATACTACAAATAGTCTAAAATTCATTCAAAAGAGTTGATTTTTGGATAATAAATCTGTATCCTCACTTACTGCAGATTAATTAGATATAAGAAGATGTGGTATGATTGCCAATGAGACAACTCTCCATCCAAGTCACAATTTGTAAAAGTAAACCATAATTGGTCAAAGTACGGCCTTCAACACTGAGACTTGGTTCACACCAAACAGCAAGCTATAAAGGGCCCCAAAAATGACTAGTGTAAAACCATTCAAACAGAAAAACCAACGGTCTAATCTATATAAAAAACGAGAAATACTTATGAACCACACCAACAAACGACAACCACTGAACATCAGGTTCCTGACTTAGGACAGGTGCAAACAAATGCAGCGGTGTTGAATGTTTTATCTGGCGCCAACCTTCACCCTACCCTGAGATAGTGGTGTAACAATACGACATAAAAGGACACACTATAAAACATTAATTGAAAAAAGGCTCAACTCATCAAAGTATGAATACTAACAGATTTTAGACAAAAGTAAGACCATGAAAACCAAATTACCAAATAGTTAAACTATAAACCACAGAAAAATATATCAAAGCCAAAACCAGTATGAAATAATTTTGCCAAACAATTGGTCACTTACGGACCACTCAAAAAGAGCTTGTTGAGAAGGATCTTAACGTGCAAAGAGCGTGGTACTCCCTGAACACGGTACCTCAGATTTAACGTCCCCATCCGACAGACTTCAAAACTTTTAAGTAGGGTCACATTTAATGCAAAAAAGATTCAACTAAGTTGTGAACTTGTCAAGGTCTGGGATTAAAAAAAGCAAATCAGTGCAGAAAATAGGTGATAACTCCAGAACCTTGTTTTGAATTGGATCCAAATTTGGATGCAAGATAACATCTATAAAAAAGACTAAAAATGTATGCTGTTTACCTCCTAAAATTAAGTTGATGTGTTGGTTATGTGAGCTTGCTCTTTAAGATTCTTTCATTACACCATTTTTGTGCAAAGCTATCCCTTGGCAAGGTTAAACCAAATAAGGTCAGCACCACAACTTAAATAGTTGTATACTGTGGGTTGATTATTATTGGTTTGTACCAATTTTTTAAGGATTTTACTAAACTAGGAATTTAAGTGTTCAACGAAGTATTCATCTTCTTTAGGCTTGTATGCAGACTTTGACAAAACTACAAAATCAAGTATTCACGAAAATACATTTTTCATTAATCCATGAAAATTGAAACCCACGAAAATAAATGAATCCACATTAGTTATGGAAATATTTCTGTGTAATTTACAGATGACTCCAGGAGAGTTTAAATTTGCCTTGAGGGTTGAGACAGTACTGAACACTATACCACAGCCAGAGTATAGACAGCTAATGGTGGAAGCTCTCATAGTTCTCACAATGGTTTCAGAGAATGAGTGGACTGTTAAAATGGATGAAATACATGTAGATAAATTAGTTCATGAAGCTAATGCATTGTTTATTAAAGATCAGGTAATTATTAGAAGATAGTTAAAAGAAAATTGCTGTTGTTGTAAGTGTACTTGAGAAACCTATAGATAAGTTTGTAGCACAGATGATATTAATGTTGAACACAATATAGATTTGCCAATATCTGATCTGATTCTGTTATTTCACACTTTTAACACAAATTGTTTCCTTTTTCCAATTGTAGACTGAGATACTGAGATAAACCTGAGAAAATGGGCTGCTGTTCATGCTAAGCATGGTGAATTGAAAGTGATATATAGGCATTTTAACCAATTTTTGTTAAAAGGTTTTGGCTTAACAAATTAAAGAAAAAATGTAATTAAAAGATTTGAAAAAGTAAGATTACATTCATAACACACTTAAAACTTTTGCATGTTACAAAAGTTTACCATTTATGCTCCACATTTGAGTTGTAGTCCTGTTTATGAACCATCAGATTTTATTGGCAATGTAAGTACATAGGATTGAAATTGGTTTCATCCAAAATATATTCATGATTTTAAAAAAAGGGTGAGCTTCATAGATGAGACCACCTGACAAATTTTAAAACAATATTGATGATTTCAAAAGGAGCATCACAGATCAGACTATATGTCAAATACCTGAGTTCTATGAATACAGGTACATGTAAATATTGTTTTTTAGGTAAATCAAACACTGTATCAAGATCTCACTTCTTGATCAGTCTGTATATTAATGTTAATATTGATTTACTACTTGTAGGATATACCACTGGAGAGTGTGAAACAGTGTGAAGGATCAACAGGAATATGTTTACATTTTTATGACAGTGCTCCTAGTGGTAGATTTGGAACAATGTCCTATTTGTGCCGAGCCTTGGCCAACATTCTAGACATACCCTCAGATCATGAAGGAAATGTGGAATGTAATCTCAGTTGAAGTTGAAAACCATAAAACAAGTTCAGTCATAACCAAAGATCTGAAACAATCCCATCTTTTTCAGCATTATGTTTTTTCCTGGATTCATGACATATAGCTATTTTTAATATTTTATTGTATTGGGATCTAAATAAACCATTTTGTGTTTTCTTAATGGTTGATATTTTGTATTTATTTTATTGTGTATATAACAAAGATGAATAACTTGCATATACATGTATCTGTGGTGGATATCAGTATTGCTGTATAACTTGTGCTTCTGCTTGTGCAATTTTTCAATGAATACTGTGGATTCATTTATTTTTTGTGGATTTAGGAAAACCTGCATTTTTCTTGGATATTTGATTTCAAGGTTTGCCCAAGTCTTTATGCAAGCCTATAGAAAATTTGTAATTCGTTGAAAATTTTAATTTGTGGTTCACCTGAACCCAAAAAATCTACGAACATTGATATATCACAAATGATAAAATCAACAGGATTGCAAAATATGATGAAAGTGGATGGAATATTTTTTTCTTCATAGAAAAGATGGTGCTTTTACTCTATGTAGGTGTAGTGCAAGATAACTAACTATTATTCTTGTTCTGATTCAATATTTTTGGTATTGCTGATGAAAATGACTCCAGTAGTCATTAGCACTAATGACTGCATTGAAACTTAGACTTACATCTGGTTATTTATTTCAAATATTTTAAAGTTTTTAAGTCTTTTTCGTGAATGTAAGGAAAGTCAAATACATTTTGCATTGAGATAAAGAATGAACCTTGATGGAGTGTTTTAGAAATGACATATTTTCAAGTTACCAAAGCTGAAAAAAATTACATTTATCATTGTGTCTTATTTAAATTTTCTCTTTCTGGAAAGTTTAAAGTTGATATTTAATGTTATTTGCTGTGTGGTTTCTACACGATTGTTGAATCACTATGTATTCTTATAATCATGTTACAGATGTCTTAATTAAAACATTTTAATGATTAATGGTGTTCTATAATATTGCATGCCTCTCATTTATAAGTTTGGACCTTATTGATAGTCTTTAAGTTTTTGGTCTTTTTTGAAGTTTAGTTAATGAATGGTTTTTGCATCGATATAATGTTCTTACATATAAAATAAGTAGATGTGGTATAATTGCAAATGAGACAACTACCCACCATGAAGATATAAGCAAATATAAGTCTCCCTACGGCCTTCTATAATGAGGAAAACCATACTGTATAGTAATACTTTTTAAGCAATGTTTACCCCAGGTCTTTTGAGCATCATGGTAATGTGATGCTTTTCTTATAGATAGTGTTATGGATGTGTTGATATGAATTCTTGTTATCCCTGTTCTATACATTCTGTGCAATAACTTATGAACCATTCTGCCAATGCTTTTCAAATTTTAATATGTTGCCACTAATGAGAAAATGGAGGTCAAGTCCGATATTGACAATTTTAACTTTTGCCGTTTAAGATATATGGCCCGGGATAGGTTAGAAAGGCACTTCATGACTTTTCCTTGCAATATCTTATGAACTGTTCAAATTTTAAAATGGTGTTACTGATGACAAAATGGAGGTAAAGTTTGAATTCTGACTATTTTCCCTTTTACCGTTTATAATGTGGCAGGTTAGAAGGCGCCAAACATTAGAATACATCAAATTCATTTGTACTGGCTGCCCTCTTAGTTCCAACAATGGTTACCTCCAAATACTGCTGTCAATTTGACAGCTTATTTCTTGTATTGAACAAAGAAGACTCATTCCCACATCTAGCAAAAGAAGATCACCAACAATATTATTAAATACTCAACATCTGTGATGCTCATTACAAACAAGGAAGACTGAAAACAAGAGTTGAAGGGTTTTGTATTTTTTTCTATTGGTTTTTTGTTGTTGTCTCATTGATAAATTCATCAGCCATCCTTCTACTCATGACCGATTAGTTTGAGGAGATACTAAAATAGTCTACAGTGGACAACATCAAGTAATGGCAAAATAACACTGGTAAGCAAGGGAAAAAAATAAAATATTGCAACAAAACTTCAGAAAGAATTACAAGTACAAGCATTGTGAAATTGAAAAATCAGTTTACACATTTTTAGGTTTCTTTCTTCAATTCTTGATGGTGTCTTGAAGATGAATTATTCTAAGGCTAAATTCTTCTTAGACAGGAACACGAGTCATTGATCTATGGAGATTAACAAAAGTTCTTATAATCAAAACAAGGCAACAATGTAATAGCTTTACATCCTTGTCATTTAAACTTTGGTGGATAGTTGTCTCATTGGTAAACATAACACACATCCTTTTTTTCCATAACAACCAATTACATAAAAAGTGCTTTATTTTCACAAATGATATAAATACTGAAAGTTAACAATGAGGACAGTTTAACATATGTTGATTTTTATGTCTAAATAAGGCATGTAACAATTTCCCTTTTCTTTCCACAATGCACAATTCTTTTCATATTTAATGTATCACTGACAAGCACTTGAAATACAAATATCCAAATAAAAAAATATAAAGAGGTTAATTTCAGATTTTTTTTTATTATTATGAATTTAATAAAAAGTCAGAATTTGATTTTGCAAATGTGTGATTGTATTTATATTTTTGTAAAATATCTTATCAACAACTGATACTTTTACATATACTGAGCATTGATAAATGTATTCTGATTATAATAGACCATGTACTTGATAAAAAAATATTCCAATTTGATCTCATTATATATTAATAAGCTAAAAAAAGGTTCTTCTATTGTAAGCATATTGATAGAAAAATGCCAATGAATGTGCAGAATTAAATACATTGTCCAAATGTCAGAATTCTGAGAAATGTTTATGATGATTAGCTCAATATGGGTCAGACATCTTTGATGAAGAATGTTAATACAGAGAAAAGCTTTGTTTTTCTGTTAATGAGATGGTAGAATATTAACAAATCTGAATTCAATGAAAAAATGTTTCTTGTCATAAACATGGAAAAGCTATCAATGTAAGTGTAAAATGTTCTGTGAGACAAGATTCTTAATTTCAATTTAATCAGGGAATATATCAAGATACTTGTGTTCAGAATTAGGTTCTTCCTAAAAAAAGGTTCACTGGAATTCCTTTTAAATAACATGTATGTGTAAAGATGGAATAAAAAGTATAAAATAAATCATCATACTTAAGTATATGCCATGAGTAAATGGCAGAATGAAAATGGATATTTGTAAAATTTCTTTTATATGATAACATGCTAATAATCCAACACTGTTTCACAGTAAAATTTAAAACATGTGCACCAACATGCTAAATGAATGTTGAATCCAATATGATACATTCAATGACACAATCATGATTGACATACAAAATGATAAAACTTGCATTCACAAAATTATGTCTTTGGTCATTTCTCTACCACTGACATTCAAAACCAACTCCAAAGAAGTGAATTTTTTACCCAATAATTATTATATGAAACTATAGCTGACTACGATAGCTTGTACATTTCTAAACTTGTGTGTCTCTTCAGTCCGTTTAAGTAACTTTTGTTCAGGAAAAAATCATTTCATTATTGGGTTTTTACAATGATATTTCAAAATAAGGTTATTTTTTTATGTTCATATTTTATTACAATACTAATTTCTATTAGTTTAACCAGGCAACTATTATTTTGAAATAAATTTTATTCATAATAACTGTTTAAGACTGTTAGTAAATCCATGATTTATCCATCCTCAAATCAATATAAAAATCTACCAGCAATTTGCAAGGTTGTATTTTTTCTTTTATCTTTAAAATCATGACCCTCAAAAACAACTGGTGCAAAATGACTCACAATGTTTTAAAAAAAATTATTTAAAAAATATAGATTTGCTGATGACACAAAAATACTTCAACCAACACTTACACTAAAATATTCAAATGGCAGAAAATCTTAAACTGTGCAATTATTAAACAAGACGAAACAGTGGTTTAGACAACCTAACGGTATTTGGTGAACACATAAAATAATAAAATGGACATATCATCAGAACTTCATAAAGTGGACTGATTGTGCAATGGATTTCTAACATTGATGCTTGATGCTATATACTAAATAATGATATTTACAAGATAAAAATTTAAAATAGATTCTTTTATGTAATTACATGAACGAACCAACGTAACATTTTCTTGTATATTTCATGTAAAATCACAAATTTTCAAACATTCATTATCAGTGCAAATGATTTTCAAGAAATATTAACCACAGTTGTTATTTACAGTGTGAAAGCTTGACACACTACAAAACTCAGTTAAACCAACCTCTTTCATTTGCAAAGTGTTTGTACCAAGGCAATCAGCATTTGTTGTCATGATTAAAGTATTAAGAAATTTTTTCCCTAATTTTGGAAGTAAAATTACATGCCTCAAATATATGAAACATGGGTGACTAAGAGAGATTATTTAAAAAAAGTTATATGTAATTCAATTAACTAGGAACAATTATTACCCCTGACAGTTTAATTTTTTAAATACACCTTGAAGATTTATAGTATATATTGTTATTCAAAAACTATTTTCAAACAAGAATGTCCATAGTACACGGATGCCCCACTCACACTATCATTTTCTATGTTCAGTGGACAGTGAAATTGGGGTCAAAACTCTAATTTGGCATTAAAATTAGAAAGATCATATCAAAGGGAACATGTGTACTAAGTTCAAAGTTGATTGGACTTCAACTTCTTCAAAAACTACCTTGACCAAAAACTTTAACCTGAAGCGGGACAGACGGACGGACGGACGGACGAACAGACCAGAAAACATAATGCCCCTACAATTATCGTAGGTGTGGCATAAAAATTGTTCACTGCTCTTTAAAAAGAAATCTGAATTGTCAGAGTTTTATTTACATTGCTCCACATCAAATTTTATTTCTTCAAAGCTGTTCAAACTTTATCTCAATGTTATGCTTTGGTCAGTTTTGTCTAAGTTCAAATCACTTTCTAATATGAGACTATTGCTTTTACTAAAAGCTGTAAGAACAATAATTCAATATTAAATATTAGAAAAGTGACAATTTCTGCAATGCTGAAAAAAGTGTGTCAATTCTATGACAATGATTTATTTTTCTTATTCAAATGAAAAAAATAAACAATGATGTATAATGTATTAGCACTTATAAATTGAATTGCCAGTCTAATGGCCAAATATGAAATCTGTTCTATTACTATATAATAGGAATACTTTTAAGAGGAAACAATTTTCTGATGGTAATCCTGTTTTCTAGTTCTTCATTAATCTGTAATATTAAGAAAGAAAATATCGACAAAAAATGAAAAAAAAAAAGATGTTGAGTAAATGTAACATACACCCCTCACCCCCCAAAAAAACCCAAGTTCCCTTAAAATGGTATCCAAAGGTCAATACAGTCTTCTGTGATGGTTAAGCATTCAAACTGTAAGGAAAGTTCTAAACGACCCAAATGCAGAACACCTATGGATCGGGGCATTGGATGTCTTTATTTTATCTTTATTTGTAATTCATTTTGTTTGAATCACTTAATTTGAAAATCAGTATTTTTTAAGTTGGAAAACATGGGACATGAAAAGGATATGTTTGATGGTTATAATGTTGAAAAATTCTACACAACCTTTTCAACAAATGCATGTAGTCTATTTCAATTGTTGTATTTGTATAGGTCTAAATGTAAACAATATTCTGACCTAATTTACTAATCTGTAAGAAAAAAATAAAAACAAAAACTATGCACTTTTGCAAACAATTCAAACAATAGTAAATATTAGCATCCTTTAAGAATTTTTTGTAGGAAATATGGTTCAGGTAAAAATTTTCTCAAAAACATACTTTTTGTTATTTAATAATATATCTACAGGAAATTAGGTAGTTTGGTTATAGTCTTATTTTGGCTTGTTTGAGCATATTGATGAAAGTGACAAAATTAAACACACACAAAAAAAAAGTTCAACCAAAAAAATAAAATGCAATATTTTCAGTACCGGTAATTAACTTTAGATCTCTTATCTTAGTGTGCAGTTAGATGTGTACACAACTAACTTCAACTTTACTATGGAAACCATTATGACAAAAATAAAATATGGAATTGACATGATGTGCAAATTTTTTCTACTACTTTATGGTAAAAACAACCAAAATATCCCAATTGAATGTATATTTGCATACAACATAAATGTATAATAAATAAATCATTTGATCATATATAACATATTTACAATGTAACACAAATCTTGGTATAAAAATAATTAGTTATTATTTACAATATTTCATTTAAATACATTATTTATAAACTCAGAATTTCTACATCTTTTTCTGTCAGTTCCCGTTTCATATGGAAGAAGTCCCTAAAGTTAGACACAGGTCCTTTATCAAATGGATTATAGAATGCACCTTTCCCATCTTTCAGGTAATTGTATCTCTTCTGATTAACTCTTTCATTAGAAGTTATATTGGATGTCATGTGGAAAGTCTAAAAAAGATTTTAAAAAAAAAGATATAAAAAATAGTCTATAAATAACATGATGAATTTTAAGACCATTTCATACCAACTGAGGTCTTTCAATAAAAACTATTATATATCTCAAAAAAAATTCTGGCAACTTGTCAATTCAATATGAAATTTATCAATTTCTGTTTGTGTTACTAGACATGCTTTTGCTGTAGATATAGATGATAGACTCCTCTTAATCAATCCAAAAAGGTGAAGGCAAAGGCATATGTCATACAGAACTATAATCCTCAAAATAAATCTACAAAGCCAAAAAAAAAAACCTTGAACCACCATGTATTTTTTCTGAAAAAAAGGCCTCATCTAAAAACTTAACATGGCTACTTAAGCATGAAACTGAGGTTAGGGTTATAGAAGTCAAATATTGATTGTTCAGCTCAGATATTGGACACCTAAATGGCCATTTATTCCTCATAACCAATCCACATACCCCAATGTTCTGAACCTATCGCGTATAGTGTCAGAAACAAACATCACCATGAAAACTCCACCTGAGCCTTAAGGTCAAGGCCATACATCATATCAAATACGGTCAATGCAATAAGGCATATTTAAGACCAAATTATACTTGCAACCAATCAACACAAATATTATGGAGCTATCATGTATAATTGCTAAGGAACAACCCTCATCATGAAAACTTCATCTCACCACTGGGGCATGAAATTTAAGTCAAGATTATATGACAATCATATCAATAATTCAAATTATAAGTTATGGTAGATTAAACAATCAGTAAATCTAAGCCATGATAACTTTTCATCAAACAGTGTATCTGATCAGGTATAATAAGGTAGTTCAAGAATAGTTCTTGCTGCTCTTTAAGTTTACCTATTCTACCTGGCATTATTTTGATCCATAATCAAAAATAGGAATAAACTGTTGACACAGAAATATGTCTCCCCTTTTTGTAATTTTGGTAGTATCAGGCAAATATTGAATCCAAATGGCAATATTTAAACATGAAACTATGTAAAACATACCAAATACCATTGACCTACCACTAGTGGTCACCTTAAACTGAACCAATCACAAATTAATACATGTAAAGTAAGCAATATTTGCAAAGTCGATAGAACATGACTGAAGGGCAGGGCAAAATAATCTCCATGGAAATGAGATGTGCCAATGCTAATACAACTGTATACCAAATATCATTCACCTACTACTAGTGGTTCCCCATAAACTGACCTTATCAAAAACTAATACATTTAAAGTAAGCAAAATTTTCAAAGTCAATACACAATGACTGAGGGGGCCATCGGCAATAGCATACCTAAGTCTTTCTGTCTGGCTTTGTCAAGGCGAGGCAAAAATGTATTCATTGTAGTTATTTAAGTTGGACTGAACCTAGATCATAACAAGAGGCTCTCGAGAGCCTGAATTGCTCACCTGTAATTTTTTGCTTAAATCTTTCATCAATGATTATTTTTGCTTTTCAATATATATTAATGAATGGCTTAAAACTTCCATTGAAATGTTCTTTGTATCTGTCATATTTTCTTCAAAATCAAAGAAACGCATTTTACCCCTATGTTTCATTTTAGCCATAGTGGCTATGTTTCTTGACGTACAAGAAAATAAAATACAAAATTTATACTAGATACTCTGAAACTCATTCAGCCCAAGTTTGGCTGAAATTGATTCATCAGTTTCAAAGGAGAAGGTTTTTTAAAGTAAGCAAACCAAATGAACAAATTGTGAAAAATTGATTTTAAAGGGCAATAACTCCTTAAGGGGACAATTGACAATTTTGGTCATCGAAACTTATTTGTATATCTTACTTTGCTGAACATTTTTGCTGTTTACAGTTTATCTTTATCATTAATAATATTTAAGATAATAACCAAAATCTGCAAAATTTCCTTAAAATTACCAATTAAGTGGCAGCAATCCAACAATGGGTTGTTAGATTCATCTGAAAATTTCAGGGCTGAAAGAGCTAAGCCTAAAAAACATTTTTACCTCTCATCAGATTAGCTCTTAATGCTTTGGTTTTTGAGATATATGCCAAAAATTGCATTTTACCCCTACGTTCTATTTTTAGCCATGGTGGCCATGTTTTTTTAAGAAACAGAAAATAAAACACAAACTTTATTCTAGATACCCTTAAAATCATTCAGCTTAAGTTTGGTTGGAATTGGTTCAGTAGTTTCAGAGAAGATGATTTTTTAAAGTTAGAAAACATGATAAACAAATTGTGTAAAATTGTCCTTAAAGGGCATAAACTCCTTTAATAAGGGGACAATTGACAATTTTGGTCATCCGAACTTAATTGTAGATCTTACCTTGCTGAACATTTTTGCTGTTCACAGTTTATCTTTATCATTAATAATATTCAAGATAATAACCAAAAAACTGCAAAATTACTTTAAAATTACCAATTTAGTGGCAGCAACCCAACAATGGGTTATAAGATTCAACTGAAAATTTCAGGGCTGATAGAACTTCACCTAATGAACACTTTAAACACCATGTCAGATTTGCTCTAAATAAATTGGTTTTTGAGATATAAGCCAAAAACTGCATTTTACCCCTATGTTCTATTTTTAGCCATGGCGGCCATGTTATTTGACGAAACAGTAAATAAAACACAAACTTTATTCTAGATACACTAAGCATCATTCAGCTTAAGTTTGGTTGGAATTGGTTCAATAGTTTCAGAGGAGAAGATGTTTGAAATAGTTTACACTAGACGGACGACGACAGACGACGACGGACGCCAAGTGATGGCTAAAAATGAAGTCAATATCAGGGAACCAATGACTGACTTACAAGGTGACATCATGAACAACCTTTCAAACCAGAAAAGTAATACAAATATCTTATTTTCTTTCACTTCCATTACAGAGTCAGAGTCAAGGTAGACTAAAATTTCTCTTTACAAAGTAAACCATACTTTGTTAAATATAGACATTCACTTCTTACTATATTCATTAAAGAGATACTCTTCAGTTTCTCAGGACTCTAAACTTCTCCAGGAGGGGTATGATAAGAATACTATGTCTCCTCCTTCCTTCAAAATGAAAATAACATGTCATAAGTTTCATGCTTCCATCAAATTGATAAACCCTTGTTTAAGATAATAATTGCAGGGTTGCCACTCTTAATCAGACATGAAATCTAAGGGTTTTTCCAGGATTATCAGTAGTTTTCAAGGATTGCGGTTCTTGCATTGTGGTTGAAATTGAGCTTGATAAATAACACTGCAAAACATTTCAAGAACATTTGCATCAAGCGTAATCGAGATCAGGGTTCACCTCTATCAAGTTGACCTATTTGTATCGACCCACGAAATGTGCCCATGAGTACCTGTTTAACATATGGGTACCAATTTTCGAGGGACGAATCAACAATCACAAGGGAGGTAATTCAATTTGTTTTTAAACTTTCAAGGATATTTTACAGATTTTTTCATTTTTTAGCATTTCCTGTAATTGAAAAATGTACAATATTTGTCATCCTGTACATGATAATCTATAAGCTGTTTTCACCTTGTCATAAAGTTGTGATCATGATTTGATCTGAGATTTCTTCCTCTTGTAGAGGTTTGATATGAAAGTAATCTAGAAAATTGTTTAATATTCCTTGGTTAAAAGCATATTTTAATTTTCCATTTTCATCCACCAGGTGTTTGTACTTTTTGTGTTTTAAATACTCATTTGTAGTCAGGTTTACAGCAGCAAGCCACATCTGAAAAAAATCAATATCAAAATTGTTATATTTTAAAAAAAATGATAGATTTTTTTATTTTTTCCACATCTTTTCATTTATGATTTATGATTACAAAATCAAATTCTATTTAGTTCCATGACAGACAAAATAGAATCAAACATATTCTTGTTGATGAATGAATTTTTCACTTCTTTACATATCATATTGTTATAATCGTAATCAATGAATGAAAACAGAAGAATATTTTATTATGTTAACTTATTCAATAAAATATGATTTACTTAAATAGTCCATTCAAATGATACACTTAAAACTGGCTACTTTTTTCAGTCTTTAAAGTTAATTTGTTATTTAAAGTAAAGACAGAGTATCAAATGTCTTAAGGCTTTACCAGAATTGAATGCAAAAGGGGGGGCACTATTTCAAGACCATTACCATCCATAAAATAAATGTTTTAAATTTATTTATAATTCTTACAAAATTCTAAAGAAAATGTGACCACCCATATCTAATTAATTTGAGTGCCTCACATCCCCCTATCTTCCAACCGATAAATTTTGGAAAAGTACTTATCAAATAAAACATTGTTCAACTTACCCCACCTATGAACAGACTTCCTGCAGTTATTTCAAAGAAAACCATAATAGCCATGTATATCTTATAAATCCAGTTCCACTCCATGTAGTTATTGATAGTGTACACAGATAAAAACATACAGATCGGACCTAACATTCCTACACAGGTAACAAATGATATAAATGTCACTCTGAAAAAATCAAACATTCAAATGATCATGATCAATGCCATCTGGCTGCCATGTTGGTTGCTAACCTGTCCTGAAAAGAGAGTATTCTTAATTGAACATACACATATATATACAAATAAAGAGAACTTGAAGTCACATTCTTTAAGGTAACCTGCAAGTGTGTGAATGACACATTCATCTTTTGTTTACATTTGAAATAAATGTGTGTGAAGTGCAAGTTAGTAAAATAGTGTAAAAGGTGAAAAAGGTGGACTGCGTTCTATAGATTAATGAACATAGAAGTAACAAAACTAAAAAGAGAATCTGGGGTTACAAATATGTTACAATTTAATTCAGTCTGATCTCATGATCTCAAGTCCTTTTCTCAAATCAAAGTCCAGTATGAGATTGACATTAAAATAATAAATTTTTGATTTATGTCAAAAGATTTCACATTCAAAATGATAATTTTTTCTCTCATTTTTTTCTATAGCAGACTTCAATGTTGATATCAATAAATGAAATGATGGATGTATGTAAATGAGACAACTGATGATGAGCCCACAAAAAGCAACACCAATATCTTGATTTATTTATTGTTACAAAGTTTGTGCTCCACCAATAAATGACATTTTGAATTATCAATAGTTTATTCAATTATTTTTAAATGAATCCAAAATGTTTTACAGCCGATTTCATTGAGTGTGTAGGCAAAGGTAATATCTTTGGTTAGCTTGCTTGCTAGCTGAACCATGAAGTCATTATTAGGTTAGGTAAACTACCCTCCTTTAAGAGTAGACTAGTCCGACAGATGACCAATCTATCTGTCTGTTGGACTAGGCTACTTCGAAAGGAGGGTAGTATACCTGACCTAATTATGACTTCACGGTTCAGCTAACAAGCAAGCTAACCAAAGATATTACCTTTGCCTACACACTCAATGAAATCGGCTGTAAATAACAAAAATTACTTGCATCTTCAAAACCTTGACTAGAAGATGTGTTTTGATACGACGTGATTTGAATGTTAGTTATTTCCGTTGATCATAATATTGGAGGTGCAACTGGTTGAATCTCTTAATTCAACTAACCATTTTGAAACATATACAAACAGTTCAGATAAGAAATCCTTACTAGATCGTAGTAATGAAATAAGCAAGTCCTTAACCATTTTGAATTGATAAAAAAATAGCTTTTTCTAAAGTTTAATGGTCTGCATAACATGTTGAATTTGGCTGATTTATCAGGATTAGTCCATGTGAACCTCCAATATGGCGAAAAAAGGGAAAGAACTCTTGCTCAAATTAGGTCAGTCGAAAACTAGTTTTTCAGTGCACAAATATCAGAATATAACATTTCTAAACAATAGTATTTTTTCTACAAAGAAAGACCAGAGATAAAGTTAGCATAAAGTTTGACCATGGCTAAATATTAGTTTTGAAAGGGATTTACTTAAGCAATCAACCTGAAACACCTTTTGTAGACTACATTTCTGAGACAAAATTAGTTTTTACAATCTTCACACACTTGCATTCTTGGAAACAAAGTGACCTCAAGTTCCCTGATTTTTTTTATCTATCACCTTACCATCATAGCTGTGACAGCTGTGACTCCTATAGTTGCTATTCCCGCCTCTATAGCCCCAATGCAAATGGCCCAATCAAATTCATCACTTAAAATGTAGTATGCAAAGAAATCAGTACACATCGCCAACAGAAACATTGACCAAACAAAAATGAAAAACCACTGCCTAGAAAGAGAATAAAATGTATTCGATTTAAAAAATAAATACATTTATTTCAATAAAATTTTGCATGCTTAATATAAAAATAAAATAAAATATTTAGTAACATTGTAATACTAAAGCTTAGTTATGAAAGCCTAGTTAAGTCTCATATGTTACTGCAAATGCGGCAAAATGTTTGTCTCAGAATTGCAGTTTCTAAAAGCATTAAGAACAAAAGAATTAAAAGTGCCTACTAAAACAACTGTTATTTTAGATTTGGGATATTGAAAGAAAGAACAACTAATAAATTAATCATTGAAATGATATTTAAGAGAACTAAAACTAATAAATAAATATGACAGGTTACACACATGAATTAAATTGTTAGTAATAGTGGTACATAATTAAATACAATACACACAAGGTGCTCCAGTTTAAGATAACTTGTCACAGTAAATATAATCTGTCAAACAGGGTAATTACTAGTGATTAAGATACAATATTACTCTGTATAGAGACAAAATTACTGTCACATTTTAGAGTAAATCAGCTAAGGACGATGAAAATTGAAGAGTAAGACTGATCTATAACTGTTACACCTTTTATGTACTTTAGTTAATACAATAAACAGCAATTCAAATACACGTGTAAAACATTTATCATACAAAAATCAATGCATCATTTTTTTACAATTCTGTTATTGCATAATGTCGCCAATCTTGTATTATAAATTCAGAAATTTTTGCTTGCATTTAATTCAGGAACTGGTGCATACAAATAAGGCATCTAAATTTATCAAATGTGAGTTTTATGTGGAAAACCTATCTCGTCACAATTTTTGCAATCGCAAAGACTTCTGAATTTACAGTATTTATAACATCTTTTTCATATGTTTGTGAAGTTCGGCATCATTCAATCCTTGTCACTATTCTTAATGAGTATCTCCCTTACAAGATTATGTATTTGCATTGAGTACTGAAATAACTGAAAATTGGCTCAAATTCTGGATAGGACATAAGTTAATTAGACTGATTGCAGATTGCAAATGGACCTAAACAAAGTGTATATGCATTTGTTTCAAATCAGTCAGGTATTTCCTTTTGATCATACCTGTAAAATTTTACATGAACCTTACACAATCATCAATCAATTAATCGATTATATACTTAGTGTTTCATATATCATGAAAAGCGATATTGTATGAATAGCAAACATTAATTTGGCAGATACATGTATGTTGAAAAATGAATATATTATTCACTGTAATTCACATGATGCTCAAACCTTCAAAATTTGAAACAGCAGCTTGCAATTTTTAATGTGTCAATTTTTTCCATATATACTAGAGAATTCAATAGCCCGAGAAGAAAATCTTGTTTGAAAATGGTTTGAAATTGTGGATGAATATTTACATTTTCTTCTCTGTATTTTGTTATAATAAGTACAGAAATGTAATGAAAATTACTACCCTAAGAATCCAGGGCATATAGTATGTACTACAAACTACACAAGAAAGATCATTTTACAAATCACAGGAGAGTATCAACAAAAAACCTACCTATTTTTATATCCCACACAGTTGTATATATATGGACAGTGATGGTCAAAGACTTTTATGCATCTGTTACAAACTCTACAATGTTTAGATCGTAACGGCTTTACAAGACGACATGTATGGCACAGTCTACTTAATGGATTCTCTCCTTGTTTCCACTCATCAAAATGTGCAACCTAGAATATAAATATCATCGTTTACAATGGATAATCATTTATTTTCCATGAAAAGTGCCTTTAAAAGTAAGGAATTCTTTTATTTGGACCATTTATTTGTCATTTCAGAATATAAGGGGCTATTGATAATTTCTTTCTTATGATAATAACATTGTCATAGAGGAATTAAGCATGGCAGACATATACTCAATTCTAATTTTTAAATGTTTGCTTCTAGTTGCTAAATGATAAACAAATCCATGATCTATAAATGCGACACATACCTGTTTAATAGCTAAATCATATTCTGGTACATTTCTAGGCAGATATCCAGGATCTGTTGTACTGGCATGGAACAATGAAAACCACATGATGATGTTCAGTATGAAGAATATTATATGTAAAATCATAAGGTCATACCAGGTGTAGGGTAAACACTGTAAAATACACAAAATTATATGTAATGTCATAAGGTCATACCAGGTGTACGGTAAATACTGTAAAATACACAAAATTATACGTAATGTCATAAGGTCATACCAGGCGTACGGTAAACACTGTAAAATACACAAAATTATATGTAATGTCATAAGGTCATACCAGGTGTACGGTAAACACTGTAAAATACACAAAATTATATGTAATGTCATAAGGTCATACCAGGTGTACGGTAAATACTGTAAAATACACAAAAATTATATGTAATGTCATAAGGTCATACCAGGTGTACGGTTAACACTGTAAAATACACAAAATTATATGTAATGTCATAAGGTCATACCAGGTGTACGGTAAATACTGTAAAATACACAAAAATTATATGTAATGACATAAGGTCATACCAGGTGTTGGGTAAACACTGCAAAATACACAAAATTATTATCAACATGTTAAGGAATGCAAATTATTATAGCTAATGGTTAGTACAGAAAATTATCATACTTTATATAGGTTTCTATAGCATGTATAGTAATGATGCTAATACTTTGTATGCCTTTTAAGAACAATGTCACAACAGCATACATGTGTATACCGAAGGTACAAATTGTAATATGCTGTCACATCTGGAAAAAGAAGTTGCACATGATTCCATGCAAATTATACCTCCTTTTGTTATAAAACACTGATGGAAAATGCCATTTTCAGTGGCCATGGGTATGATATAAATCAAAGTATGGTAAAAAAAAAAAAAAAAGCAGTGACTGCAGATCCTAAAACTGATTACATTGTACAACTCAACATTATACTGTTCCGGACCAAAAATGAAATCATTCCTTAATATAGAAATTGAATCATATGCATTGAAAAAATTTCATACCCTGTGTGGGCTTAATGAAAATAGAAAGTATTGTAAAACAGGAAGTGACTGCCAAGCAGACCTAAATTTCACTTACACAGTTCAACTAATAATAAATAATCAAAATAATGACCCAAATTAAATATTAAATTATTAGAGAATATAGAAGCTGAGAAGTATGTACTGAAAAAAATTCATATTATAAGTGGATATTATAAACATTTTGAATATTGTCAAACAGTAACATGAGTAATTGACTGCCAAGCAAATCTGAAAATTGTTTAAACACTACAACTCATCATACTAAAGTTCGAGACAAAATTTCAAATCTATTCATAATACAGAAATTGAATCTTATGTCATAAAATTTATGGACTGACGAACAAACTGATGGACGGTCAGGTGATTGAAGTATAACAGTAATAATAACACTCAATCTCTGAGTTGGGACTGGGGTATAATTAAATTGTCTTTACCCAGAGAAATTTAATATCATAACAATTATGTGGATATCAACTGGCATACGGTAGATTTCTCATTTGAATACATCCTACATTGGTCAGGAAATATTATAAAATTTTGCCAAAATTTTGATATATCACCACAAGAAGACAACAATATAGTATATATATATATCCTTTAGGAAGTTTTGGTCCACAATGCTCTTCAACTTCGTACTTAATTTGGCCTTTTTAACTTTGATATGAGCGTCACTGATGAGTCTTTTGTAGACATGATGCACGTCTGGCATAATAAATTTTAAGCCTGATATCTATGATGAGTTTATCTATGTTATCAAATAAGATCATAGTAGAGAAAAAAAATTTATAACATATAATAAAAAGAATTTAAAAAATTTAAAAAATTTACTGTTATATGCTTGATGTCTTGTATTTGATTGGGTTTTTTTGTCTTTAAGTTGTTCCCAAATTGACACATACTGCACATCTCCATTTGCTTAAATTTAGACAAATTACCAATGACCTAGCTAGGCATTATATGGATTACTTCACCCATATTTCTAAACGTTTGTAGAATTTCATTGTAGTGATATTTTGGGGTGGTATTGTTGGCATTGCAGAGTAAACCATGACCTGTGGCTAGTGAATGAAAAATGTTTCAATTCATAGTGGCTTAACACCCCTTAACAGTACACTGACTCTACTCTCTATATTAACGTAAAAAATATAGAAATTCTGAAAATTCAGCTGATTCATAATTTATGTTATAACCGACTTACCTTAATAATATACATAGGATAACCCCAGCACAACACGTTCACCATGAAAAACAAGATGGCTACTTTACTGTTCCCTGGGGGACCAAATGCTATAGATCTAAAATATATAACCTTGCTTATAAACTTGGAACATTTCAGTATTAGTCTTGTTAGGCATTGAAAAATGTACCATATAACTAGGCTTGTAAGAAATAAAACTTACTAGATATTCAGTCAAGGAAAAACTAACATTTTACCTTCATCTATCAACTTATAATTAATATTATATGTATTAACATGCATGTATATATTTCAAATACCTTTTTTATTTTCTTTCACAAGAAAATGTGCAGACTCCTGTATAACACGAAATGAACAATTTCTTATATTACCTCAAAAATAAATTTTAAAAAATTCCCAAAAATGTGCCTGTCCCAAGTCAGGAGCCTGTAATTCAGTGGTTGTTGGTTCATGGCTACCATATTTTTTTTTTGTAAATTGTATTGTTATAAATGAGGACATAAGTTTTCTTTTTTAGCTGTTTCACATTTTTCATGTCAGCCTTTTATAGCTGACTATACAATATGGGGTTTCCTCATATTTGAAGGCTGCAGTCATACCGCATTTCCTTTTTTTACATCAATTCCTTCTTCATCGTTGATAGTTTGATAAAATAGTCCCCTCACATTCAGCATGGTAATGTACAACTTAATAGTATGGTTGTAAACTTCTTGATTTCAATATTATAATGCAAAAAAATATTATTAAAGGATTTTCAACTTAGGTTAACTGTTATTAATTCAAATATATTTGTCCATGACTGCAAATTACTGGAAAAGATATAAATATATGGATACTTACAAAATATCTAATTTAGGTATAAAACTATTTTTAGATTTGATCTGTCTTCGGAGATACTCTATGACATCTTGATGCTTTCTACCAGAAGCTAACATCAGTGGGGTTTTCCCATTTTTATCTTTAAGATCCAACTCAGCACCATCCTAAAACAAACGACAAAGAACTTAATTAAGTTTTTTTCATGTCTTCTGATACATGTAGCTTAAGGGCATATGATACACTTTGGATCCCACATACCAGCTGTTTTTCACATATTCAATTCAAATATGTAATAATAAATATACCTTTAGGTGCAACACATAGAGATAAATTGGACCGAAATTTTAGGCATAAACTAAAGATTTTGGTTTCTTGGACATTTCTATTCTTTGAATACATTATGTACTTAACTTTTTTGTTTCAAAAAATAAACACATGCAGATTTTTATGAAAAGATTTGGAATATCTTCTTTACAAAAATATGCTCTTAATTTGTGTAAAAATTCTTTGGAAATAATTTCTTTTGATTAAATTTTTATGACTTCAGAAAACTAGAGGCTCTCAAGAGCCTGTGTCACTCAGCTGTATTTACTGATGCTTTGGAAACATGTAAAATCATAATTAATAGTATTAGATATTAGATATTATAATGATATCTAAGATAATAACAAAAAACTGTAAAATTACTGTAAAAATACTAACTCAGGGGCAGCAACCCAACAACGGGTTGTCGGATTCGTCTGAAAATTTCAGGGCAGATAAATCTAAATCTGATGAACATTTTTGCCACCTGTCAGATTTGCTCTAAATGCTTTAGTTTCAGAGATATAAACCAAAAACTGCATTTTACCCCTATGTTCTATTTTTAACCAAGTCGGCCATGATGGTTGGAAGGCGGGGTCATCGGACAAATTTTTTAAACTAGATACCCTAATAATGATTATGGCCAAGTATGGTTAAATTTGTCTCAGTAGTTTCAGAGAAGAAGATTTTTGTAAAAGATTACAAAAATTTATGAAAAATTGTTAAAAATTTACTATAAAGGGCAATAACTCCTAAAGGGGTCGACTGACAATTTTGGTCATGACGACTTATTTGTAGATCTTACTTTGCTGAACATTATTGATGTTTACAGTTTATCTCTATCTATAATAATATTCAAGATAATAACCAAAAACTGCAAAATTTCCTTAAAATTACCAATTCAGGGGCAGCAACCCAACAACAGGTTGTCAGATTTGTCTGAAAATTTCAGGGCAGATAGATATTGACCTGATAATCAGTTTTACCCTATGTCAGATTTACTCTTAATGCTTTGGTTTCAGAGATATAAGCCAAAGTCTACATTTTACCCCTATGTTCTATTTTAAGCCATGGTCGCCATCTTGGTTGGTTGGCGGGGTCATCGGACATATTTTTTAAACTAGATACCCTAATGATGATTGTGGCCAAGTTTGGTCAAATTTGGCCCAGTAGTTTCAGAGGAGACGATTTTTGTAAAACTTTTCAGACGAAGGACGCCGGATGCCAAGTGATGAGAAAAGCTCACACTAAAAAACAGCATTTTTTGCTGTACATTGTATATTTATCTGTTCAATTTTTTTTTTAAAGATTGCTGATAAAAACTGGTACAAATAATCTTCAAACAGTATCAACCCAAATGTCATTAAAAAAAGGAGGGGTTCAAGTACTCCTTTTCAAGCTAATGGTTAAAATCACTCCAAAATTGCATCTTTTCCCAATATGCTGCAGATTGAAGTCACGAAAAACAACATTTTACATTAGCAACGTCATTACCTCCCCATTAACTATATTGTATGCCCTTTAGTTGCGTATAAACTTTGATTCCAGGAATTTATTCCTGATGTGTTCACAATTATAAGGTTATGTTAAAATTGAAATCTTTGCACTAAATAAGTGACAATTTCATAGAGGGTGGGATACCTATAGACAGACTGATTACTATGTAGCGCTGACATCAAGATATTTCCCAAACTCCTTCATATCTACGAGTATAAAATAAATCTACAAACCAAAATCCATAAAATTTGATAGACCTGAATTTCTGGAACATTCAATATATATATTATCTGAAAATTCTGATCCATCAAATTTTATGGAGTTTGGTTGGTAGATTTATTTTATACACTTTGAAATGATTAATGATGTTGGGAAAACTTATGAATAAAATAATTAGGTCACTGTCATATCGGCTGAAATTGTAAATTATTTTATCATTACTTTTAGATATTTTGGGGAATATTTAGCACCAGAAAGCACAGAAAAGGTAAGGGTTTGTATATTTTCATTCATTTACAGTTGTCAGTGAAAATTTTATCATAAAATTACTTAAGAGCAAAATTCAGTGATAGCAGACCTGTCAACTTTCACGATTTATGGGGATTTCCCCCTTGAGAGGTGATGACTTGAATTTTGAAATTCTTTATCATATGAACTGAACACCTCAAAATAGGCATTTAAATGATTTAAAGGGTATTTAAGCACATACCTACTCATTCATACCATTTAACAGTTTTAACAGTACTAGTCAGTAGATAAAAAAACTTTTATGACAATATAAGAGGAGTATTAGGTCTTCTTGCACTTAAAATCCTCCATGGAGATTTTGAAAAGTTGGCAGGTATGTGATAGGATGGCAGAAAAAGAAAATAGCCCAACAAGACGTCAAAGTTATTTGGATAAATTATTCATACTGAACTTGTTTTTGGGGGAAATTTTTAAAGAGGAAGTAACTCTTTCATGTAAGCACTACAATTTTAGTGTTTTGAATGCTGTTTGAATAAAAAAAAGTGAACAACACTGACAATACCAGTCTGGAGAACCGGAAAAGACACTGTTTTTCCATCTTATGATCTTTTGCTTGTTTGCCTCCTTCTACTTATAACACCATATCTACCTCTAATTTTAAGAGTTCCACAAGGGGACATAATTTACTTTTTCCACTCCTTTAATAACCCGAATAATGTCAGTCGTTATATTCCGCCGATCTCCGTCTAATCTCCGATTGCTACATTAACGCCTGAATGCATACACAGTTAGAACGCGTCAAAGCGGAAATTGATTGACGCGGTGAATTATGGGCAATTGTTTACAATAACAGATTAGGCGGGAGAAAAAGGCGGAGCATAAACAGATGATACGATTAGTAACCTCCTTAGGTTATATTACCTATTTACCTGTTCGCAAATAGCTGGAAAAGAAGGCGGAGCATGATTAAAAGTAAACACCTTCATAACAATGGAATTTGACAACACGTGTTTGCATTGTCAACATTATTTTGATGTGAACAATTTAAAAACGGAGCGAAGACGTAAACTTATGAAACATAGTGATGTTGATCTAATTGAAACTATTGCAAATTGTTACCAGTTGGAGGAAAATCTGTTGAGAAAGTATGTTGAAGAAAATGAAGACACTTATGTATGTGATGCATGTTTTAAATCTCTTAAAACCATATACAACAGCCAGAAAAAATGCAAACAGTTGACTGACACTCTCAAAGAAAAAGTTTCTAATAACTTTAAGAATCTCACCATCAAGTTAGAATATGTCCGTGGCAACAATAGTGTAAAGCGAAACAGGGACTGTTTAACCCCTTCTAAGACTGGATGTACACCAAAAGGAAAGAAATTGAGTCCACCCAGAGGATCAACTCCTAAAGGCAATAGAAGGAGACTGCAGTTCTCTACACCCATTCCAAGAACTCAAACACAGTCACACTCACAGAATCAGTCTCCTGGCCCCAAAGTCAAGGTATATATATAAGATAACATTAAATTCTTAAACTAATGATCATTGAACCTTTTTTACATGTAAATTACAAATACCCTGACTTAAGCCATGATTTTTTAACTTTGCAATTGTATCTCCCACTTCTTGATTTAGAAAAAAATCAACTCAACATACATGTAATGCAGCATTTGTGTAACTTATTTGAAATATGCATGTATCTCAGTTTACTGGTATTAAGGAATGCAACAAGTTTTGCTATTGTACATGTTCATTATACATGTAGCCAGTTCTGTAAGCTTTTGTAAGCAATTTATTTTCTTTCTTATTTATAAGCATGATAAGTAACAAAATCATAACACGTAATGTACATTTCTTACTTTTTTTCCAGGTGCAAATTGATTACCGCCATAGTAAAAGAAAAACTAATTTACAAGGACCTACTAAGCTGGCCTGTAGGGCTCTTGTAATGAAACAATACAAGACTGCACTGAACCATCTACTTCAAATTGACGAAGTCAAGAAAGAACTAGTTAACACTGTTAAGAAAACTATAAACCAGGAAGTAAACAAAGTATGTTCAGATAAGAACTCTGTGTTGAGATCATCAAATATAGCTAGATTTTCATGGAAGACAGTACATAAGCAATTGCTGAACACATGCCCCACTACAGTTGACCTCCTCAGACTTCTTGCTGGCAAAAAAGAGAATAATGTACCAAGAGTTGTATCAAGTCTTGTTGTGGACTTGAGTTAGAGTGGAATAATATGAATTTCAAATTTTCAGACTGGCATACTAAATATAATTATTACATGTACATGTATGAATTTGGTAAATAATAGTGTAAATGGTCAGGAGATTTGTATTTGGTCAGTAGTACAGTTAATGTACAAGTAACAATTAACTTAAGAATGCTTACCCAAATTTATATTAATTAGTTAGTCATGTGAGTCAAGGGGCATATATAATTTTATTTTTATCTGAATTTTAAAAAGGATGTATTTACATGTGTAAAACTTGTAAAAAAATTAGTGGTGTTCCGCTTCCCTATTAAGAAAAATAAAGTTGGCTAAAATGTACATGTAGTGTGTAGAGTACACTGGTAGTTTTTTTGTTCTCAAATATGCAACCATTCATACAATTTTTACTTTTTGGTGTCTAGGAAATACCATATCTCCTTGCTTTCGTAGTATAATTGTTTCTATGAATTAGTATGTATTGATCTGAAATGCTCTAAATTTAGATGGAATTTGATTTCAGGTTTACACTACATTCAACCGTGCAGGACTGTGTACATCATACAAATCAACATTGTCCACTATTGACAGAATATGTGAGAGTTTTGACCTGCCAGTGAAGAAATGGGCTAATAAGGTTGCAGAGATGCATAACAAAGAAAATAGTAATACGAAG